ATTCTGTTTTGTCTTGATTCCTGATGTTGTAGGAAAATATATAATCTTCACTGTGAAATACATGGTCATCATTGGAAGCATGGACTACATTTGATACGGAGGCATTTAATGTAGCTTTAGCAGTGGATAGGCCATATTTATATGAGGCCCCGGACGGGGTAATTGTAGACATTTTTTTTTGTGAACTAAAAAGGTGTGAGAATAAAAATCAATTACCTGTAACTGAGCGAGATCAAGTTATCTCAGTCTTCGGCTAAGATTTTATAACATCCAATCCTTGGCTAACGCCTCAGTTAGGATTATGTTACAGAATCCTAGCCCGTGACGGAGATAACCTGATCTCGCTTAGTGACTGGTAATAGATTGGTAATATGTGTACCCCAGTATCACATTATCATGTGTATGTTTCTTTGTGCATGTCCCCTGTAACCACATATTATTGTCTTGTAACAGGATCATATCGCTGACTATGGTAGGTACTCCGCATCCGCATCGCTTAACATATTCCGTACCACACTTTTGATTTCATGACGGGCATCACAAATTTTACGTAATCAGTTCTAGGAATTATTATTTTATCATATTTAAAAATTTAGTTGGGAAAATTTAAATTGAAGCCTTGACCATGAAATGGAAGTGTTGTACAGTGATTTCGTGCATGGAATATAGATCCTGGTGTACGGGCCCTGTATCACGTAGATACAGGCACTGTGTATATATGCATGGAGCACTGTTTTTTGTAACACTGTGACAAAGTTAATTGTCCCACAGGGTTGGTGTTTTATCTGACTGGAGTTGACAACAGAGCGTATTCTCTTGCCTCATTTTGAGCTGTTATATGTGAAGCTCCATGAATTAATTCTAGCTGTTTTCTTAATACAATTTCTATTTGGATTTTTTGTATTCTTTTCTGATTTTAACACCTATACTTACTTATAGTGGTATGTCCTTGACCTGGGATGTGAAAGCTTGTACAACCCTCAGGGTTGTGTAACCTCTATGGTTGACATTCACTCTGTTTGTATACTGTGTATTGGTTTGAAATTTAATTATTATTGAGTGAAATTGTTACTTTTTTTTTTGCGATTTCCGTTATCTATATATATTTCATCCTTAAATACTGTAGAGCAGGATTTTTCCACTGGGATGATATTTTCGCGATTTTGCAGTTCAATAATGTGATAACAAAAGTATGATCCAAAGAATAATATGACAAGCGTAAAAATGAGCCGCGATAATAAACTTAATGACCGTATTGTCGCCATGAAATAATGTGCACATGGTAATATGATGACGTGTGAAATTACATGATTTGCTGTCATAAACCCTATTTATTTGACAGTTTGATACTTTATATGATGAGTGTCTCATCTTTTGGCTTAAACACAGCGAACATATAGTTCCTTCAAATTTCTAGATCACGAAATTAAAATCTGGGAAAATTTAAAATAATTTTCAATCGTGAAAATTTAAGCCCGTGTAAATAACCCGCTATACGGTATATGTTAAATATATATACAGATATTAATTGATGTATTTACGATGAGATGTATTTGTTTTGTTAGAGTCTTCCGCCTATTGTGAAAAGATCAGCTGTAAGAATTTCCTTTTTGTTAGTTACATTTTTGTTTCTTTCCTTACGATATTTGTAGCATACAAACAACAGTGTAATTTTGGTGATTTACATTAAATATGTATTACAAAGTCATGCATGCTAACATACGGTAATAGCCAAGTTTATATCATTAGTAGAATAACCAGACATCATACAACATTGTAGTGCAGTCTTTTTAACATCAAATTTCTGTGCTTAGGTAGCGGGTAATATGTTATTCCTGTATGGCTATCTGCATTTCTTCTAAAGTTTCCCAGTATACTTACCCGACAGACTTTCAGCTTTATATAGGCCTGCTGTACAGAGAGATGTGTATGGAGTTCAGTGTAGGCTACTTTCCAGAGATAATTTTGTAGATCAAAAATTGACATACCGGTAGGTAACATGACTACTGCTGTCTCTTCAAAGAAGACCTTAATTATAACAGTGTAGACACCTGTAGATATACTGTAGAATACAGGCTACAACACCAGTCCTGCCAAAGGATATTTAGCTGTGCTTGTACATGTATCGGGAATTATTTACCATAGTTAAAAATACTTATATCAAATTTAGCACATGCACTTAGTTAAAAGGACAGGAGGGAAAAAATCCTATTATGGCAAAGAGTTCAGAGTTTGCAACAGTTTGTTAGTTGTATTTGATTATCTCTGAATACTTGTCAATCATACTCATATCAGCGGAGGGACTGTAACTATTCATAATAAAACTGAAAAAGAAAGGGGGAAACAAAAAATTGACATGAATCCTTTGTCATATACACTAGCTTTACAGGTATTGATTTTACATCATTGTTTTATTTTCGGTGTTAAAACATTCAAAAACATCCATTCTACTGCAAATCTGGCTAAACCTCTCATGTACAATAAGTAGATATCAAGAAAGTATTTTTGTGTTGAACAGAATGCACAGACAGGTAACCAGAAGCCATTGCGAGTGGCTTCCTCCTCCCAGCAGAACCCTACTTCACGATGTCTGGGAGTTTTTGAAGTTCGGGGGGATGAGAAAAAGACTGCTATACTTATGAAACAATTTTCTAAAGGACCACCTAAAAAGCCGAGTGTAAGATTGCTCTGCCATCACCTAATACAGTTAACAGAACTGACTAAATGGCTTCAAGTGAAGTGCTGACCTTGGATGTGTGCATGATATTATCATTGACCTTTAATGCCAAATGGACAGCAAGAGCCAAGAAAAAAGCATGAGATGACGAGCTTCAATTGTTGCTAATAATCAATGTCAGAGAAATGTGACTGAAGAGTCACTGTAACCTCATTTAATCTGTCAGCTGGCGTTGCTGTGGTTTGTATGCATGTTGGCTGGGAGGCCTACGACAGATCGTGTGCTGATCATGTGTGGTTCAACATCACTGGTGTTATAAGCTCACCTGGCACGAATGGCCGAGTAAATTCATGTGTTCACCGTTCATCAGTTGTCATCTTTTTCTCACACCATAATGGCTATAAGGATATTGACTAAATTCTGCATGATCAAAAAGAGTGTTTGGCCCCATGGAGTCAGAGGAGTGCTACCCAATACTTAATCTTAAAAAGACTAAGTAGGGGTGGGGGAAAAATCTAATATGATGAGCGGCATTCCTGGGTCAATTAATTTTGTGGCTCCACTGTGTACAGAAGGGTGGGACCAAAAATGTGGGAAACACTTTTACTACTCCTCAAGTTTGTCTGAATGATCCAAGTCTCATGATGAAGTGTGTGGCTTATAGGCAGATTGGTACAAATGATCATCTTATGACCAGCCATTGTAGTAAAGCTGACCCAGTATGGCTTTGGCCTCTAATTGGCCGAGACATTTTTGACTTCTTAATTTCCGAGGTCAATTTTGACAAAACTTATGCAAATATTCATCCTTGGCCCTCTGAGACCAAGAGTTGTTAATTCTTGGATTAATTTACAAAGATTGCTTTCTGTGCTTTGTTAGATATATCTCCAACTGTCACCAGACCTATGATAAACAAACTTGATCTAAATCATGCTCTCGTGCCCCTAAACAGGCACTGTTAATTTCAGAATTTCTGGTCTTCTGTTGACTTTTGCTCAATTCCACCAGATAAGAGTTGTTATCTAGTTTGGGTAACAAAACAAATGGGTGAACGATACAGGCCTGTTGGGTCTCTTGTGTTTCTGATTCATCCGTCATGTGAACAAAAAAATCATTGATTAGAACATACATGTCTGTCAGTGATATCGCCATGGTTTTCTACTTTCTTACCTACATATTCAGTTTAGATCTGCTACTTGCGTGGAACATTTGTCATTCGTGTGGAACACTGGATGTTCCTGAGAAAGTTGGATGTTTCTTAACACATGCTTTTTGGCTACATACAGTTGTCGTATTTAAAGCTTCTTGTTCTTACCTTGTTGATTGTATGGAGTAGAACATCATATTATGGATTAAAAAAAAAAAATTAAATAAATATTATTTTTGATGACCTGCATGGTATACAATGTACCACTTAATGATTCATCATTTCAGTAAAAATTAGATTCATACATGTTTATCCACCGAGCTAAACATTGATTTTTTTTTTTGCATGTTTCAGTTTATACTACATATATATTTAACCCTTACAGTATTTATTTACACATTCTGTATGTTGTGGTGGTTACAATGTGTTTGGTGTTTTGTAACAGCGATCTTTTCTGATGCTTCGATCTTTATATTAACTTGGAGCACATCACGTTGTTTGGGAATCATGGAGATGATCAATAATGAGTACAGTGAACAGTAACGATGTCTAATGTGTTTGTTTTAACTTGATGATGTATTGTATTTGATTTTCAGACAACATTTCTTTTATATAAAACAAAATGTATATATTACTGGTATTTATCATGGCTGCCACGTTGTTCAGTGGTACACATACTTTTGCGTATGAATCGGTGTAGTGACCTCATGTCAAACGTTCACAATGGAAATAAATAATGAGCCATTTATAGGGCTAAAATGGCAGAATTTCAAACTACAAGAATGACTAGGAAAACCCTCTTTTTCTTACAGTTTCAAACATCCTTGAGCATGTGATAAAAAATGTGTTCGTTACAAATTTTTTCATTTGAGCCTGCCAAAGAGTCATTAAAAAATTAAATTTTCCGACCGATTTCAAAAATCTTAAATAAAATTGAAACTCTTATATAACTATAATAATAAACAGCAGTGGTCATGATGTTAGGTATACCATTCATTCAGTTGCTGTGCATGATTACATACATTTATCTCTTAATTACAGAAGTTCTATACATATATACTCTATGTTATACATCAGATTTTACTGTATACCTGCAAGTAATTTATTAACTGATATGTGAAGTCAGGAAAACATGTCCTTAACAATATGTTGTAAACTTCGTTTTGTCCTTTGCAGCAGACACAGCAACAATTTACTCGACAACACAGACATTCCGATCACCCTTAGGGAGCTACCCGGCAATGACAGAAGCCACTTTAACTCCGCGAGAGTAAGTAATCAAAACTGCTACTTATAGATGATCTGATAAAACAGATCAAAGAACTTATTTAACTGTTTGTTGCCCGTCTGTTGTCAATTGTTTCTCCTGCACACATGGTCTAGAATCCTGCTATATGGTCCATAGTGCCCTGGGGTGAAGGGCTGTTTTAATTTATGTTTAAAAAGTTGATCCAAAAAACATCAAGCAAGAGTAGACTACCAATGCTCTAGCAAAAATAGATTCCACTCCTACAGCTTGTAAGAGCATATGTTGATTTGAGAAGCAATTTAGCTGATGAGAAAACTGTCTGCTTTTTGTTGAAGGCTACACCCAGTACAATGACATACGATTACAGAAGGCTGACTCAGTCATCAAAGACACAACGACACCACCAGGCTCCCAGTAAACTCACCGTCTTCTGGATAGACTGAGCACATGTAAAGCTTCCAACAGACCAGACATCCCCAGGCTTCCGGTAAACTCACCGTCTTCTGTATAGACTGAACACATGTAAAGCTTCCACCAGACCAGACATCACCAGGCTCGCAGTAAACTCACCGTCTTCTGGATAGACTCAACACATGTAAAGCTTCCAACAGACCAGACATCCCCAGGCTTCCGGTAAACTCACCGTCTTCTGGATAGACTCAACACATGTAAAGCTTCCAACAGACCAGACATCATCAGGCTCCCGGTAAACTCACCGTCTTCTGGATAGACTCAACACATGTAAAGCTTCCAACAGACCAGACATCACCAGGCTTCCGGTAAACTCACCGTCTTCTGGATAGACTGAGCACATGTAAAGCTTCCAACAGACCAGACATCACCAGGCTTCCGGTAAACTCACCGTCTTCTGGATAGACTGAACACAGGCAAAGCTTCCAACAGACCAGACATCACCAGGCTTCCGGTAAACTCACCGTCTTCTGTATAGACTGAACACATGTAAAGCTTCCAACAGCCCAGACATCACCAGGCTCGCAGTAAACTCACCGTCTTCTGGATAGACGGAACACAGGTAAAGCTTCCAACAGACCAGACATCACCAGGCTCGTAGTAAACTCACCGTCTTCTGGATAGACTCAACACATGTAAAGCTTCCAACAGACCAGACATCCCCAGGCTTCCGGTAAACTCACCGTCTTCTGTATAGACTGAACACATGTAAAGCTTCCAACAGACAAGACATCATCAGGCTCCCGGTAAACTCACCGTCTTCTGGATAGACTGAACACATGTAAAGCTTCCAACAGACCAGACATCACCAGGCTCACCGACATATTTAATGACTATATGGCCGATACCTGTAGTATCTGTATGTAGCTTTAAGACAATGTAGAGCATTACAAATCCATGACGTTGTCTTGGTGTCCATTTTAAGTAGAAGTTTGCTTGGTTTAACAACTTGAATTTCTACATTTTAACTTACCAAACAGTTGATGTTATAACAGTTTTATACAACCTAGATCTGTGGTAATTGTGATCAGTAGACTGATGTTTCCCATTCTTGGTTTGTACATCTGAACTACAAACATTATTTACCGTTTTTCGTTTTAAGCCACTTGCTACAGGTATAGCTAGTTTTAAAGAATCTCATTAATTTACGCTATCATTTACATGATTAAAGTGACTTTTATCAATCAATTGGTATTTCAAGAATTGGAAAAACTAAATTTTATGTTTTAATTTATCATGACTGTAAGTCTTTTCAAAGTGATCCTTCATATGTGTTACATGTATGTTATTTGATCTGTTATGGGAGTAATAAAGCCGGATAAGCTCGGTCATAAGGTTAATGTAAGTATTTCTTCAAGATCCTTGTAACATTGCAAGCAAAATGCTGGAAAAAGCATTTTACAGTTACCTCTTCTTCAATTAGTGTGTGCTATAACTAATGGGATTGGGCTAGGGAACTGCTGCTGATCAGGGAGTTCACTAATGGAGATATAACACACAAAAACGTAATGTACTTTAAATAAACCGCAAAGCGGTTTATGATGAGAGTACACTCCGGTTTTTTGTGTTATAGCTCCATTACATAAAAAATATATTCAAGTTAATCTACTATACACAATCCCTGTGGAAATCAACTTTTATTGATGGGACTCTTTTCTCTTAGATATTATTACGCTGCTGTATCAGCCAATCAAAAGCGACGTTACAAACGGTGATATCATTTTTTATGTTATGGGCTGATAATATAATTTTTTAGGCCAATGAAAAGGTTTATTACAAGCAAAATTAAATTATTTATTATTAATTTAATCATTTTTTTCTCATGAAGTTCCACTAGGTACAAGTTTCTTGTCAGAAATGATTTAATCAAGCCATTCTCTTGCAGGTAAAATGTTTCTCATTCACTTACCAGCTACAGTTTCGTGGTACGTGGATCGTTAAATCTTGTTTTATGTAGTGTTTCCGATCAATGTAGATGAATTGAATGGAAGTAAACTAGAAGTGTTGAGTCCTTTTGTTAATGACACCCGTCATTTTGTTAATGACAATGACACCCGTCATTTTGTTATTGACACCCGTCGTTTTGTTAATGACAATGACACCCGTCATTTTGTATTTCTGGAATCGAGACGAATGGCATTATCAGCATTTTCCCATAATGGCAAAACAATTGAGTAAATTGTATGTATCAGCATTCCTTCGTTCTAGTCGGACCACAATGACCTGTTGTGTTGACCTCAGATTACTATTTTGATAAAGCACAAGTCCTGTAGGGAGCATGGTAGATCTTTAATGCAAGGAACCGTTCACCCTAGTTACAGAGGATACAATCCTGATGGCTGTTTTAGAGTGTGGTATATAAGTTCTATGTATTTTCATACAAAAAATAATTAAGGTACTTGATTTTAGACTATTTTTTAATTTCGTTAGCTTTATTTTATCTACCAATACAGTATTTTTTTTAAAATGCCCTTTTACATTCATTGTTGTTTTTCGTCCCAAGGAATCGCTAAAAAAACACCACGGTATACTTTTTAAGTATTATAAAAAAAATCAAGATTTTATATGGCATTGAAAGCATTTCAGCTATCAGGATTATGGACAAAAAATCTCAGGAAGTTTAAACTCCATATAAAGGTCAATGTGACAGGTGATTATGGTCACGTATACACGTACCACTGATATCACGTTGTATATATGTGTAACCACGACAACGGGACAGTGTACCAGGTATTTATTGTATGTGGTCCCACTGTGGTGTCTAGGTTTCGCGGGATACAAAGTATAATTATATAGACTGTGATATATTGTATATTCTCAAATTATTATGAAACTAGAATAGTTATTTATTATTAATGCCCCGATTGAGAACATATTTTACAAGGTTCAGAACAAGTTCAATTCTTTTTAAAATCTAGTATACAAATGTAATTTCATTTAATAGGTATTTACAAAGTTTGTTTTACATGTATTTTTGCAAGTTTTAAGTTTATGAAGACAAAATAACTAAAATGTCATTAAGGTAATATTGGCATTTGAATGATGTTTTAAAATAGATTAATATATGTAGAAAGAATTATTGGAGATGGATCAATTCTTACAAAAAGAACAAATTTGTACCGAAGACGGACAAGATATGTAGTCATTTATCTAATACATGTTGCATATAAATTCTGTAGTTTGTAATCTGTCCTCGGTTGTAAGAATGATCATAAACTGTAATCCGTCCTCGAATTGTCATCGGTTGTATTAATGAAGCATGTGTTCCATTAAAACACACTTTGTTACCTGGTAATCAAAATATTTAAACACTGGATATTATACAAGGTTTCATTTAACCATTTCATTGTCCACTATGGTTGATTTTGGCGAGGGCCAGTCAGTCCAGAATGCACTTGACTATTGTATTCATGACCATGTTTTCATTATCATACTCCGAGTCCTATGTGGAGAAGTTCGATTTGAATGTAAAATCTGGTCTTTATTGTAACTTGATGCATTTATAAGTTGAAAGTATTACTTATTGAAATTATTGCGGTGCTGTACTGAATCCTAAAAATAGTTGTCTATATTTTCTCCTTCCTGAAAATGCAGGTGGTCATGATCCCCTACAGTGTTTAATGGCCGGAGTTGTATAGTATTTAGCATTGTGGTGGACAAGGCATAGCTCCACATGCATGTCAGCCACGACTCATACGTATGTAAACAATTCAGTTAACTATAAGTAATTCATATGTACCGACAGCATTGACATTAACAATATAATCTTGGTAATGTACCAACATGAAAGTGGCCACAAATTTTATGTAACCAGTACAGTATTACTGTAAACTGGGAAATATTCACCCAGTCCAACTTGCGCCCTTCGTCCATGAAATTCATTTTCGCCCTTCACATTAAGTTTCTATATTTATTGTTGTGTTTACTTTTTTTTGTTATAATGCTAAATTTGCCCTCATTACAGAGGGCAAAAAATGTCAAATTAAACTGCAGTGAAATTTTCATCAGTATACAGGCATTGCCCATGTTAAAATATACACGAGTATATAGTCATTGGGTATGTTAAAATCTACACGAGTATATAGTCATTGGGTATGTTCTGCAAACATTTAAGTTAATGTTTATAATACATTCAGCTTATTTTTGAAAGATTTTGTTTGCGCAAACTACTGCGAGAGCAACATTCACTTTAAACCAATACATACAGCGAGGCAAAATGATAACCTAGAGATTATCAGGAAATTATTGTTTTAGTTTTGTGGTATTTGTTTGAATGGCCCCAATAAATATATTTTGACGGAGCACCTGCACATTTGTTTTAATGCGAAAAGTGCAAATTTTGTGCCATAATATCTATTGTTAGCATTATACTTATCAAAACATTAGTTTAAACCTTGAAAATGTTTTGATAAGGTAATTGTCCTAATTTTAAGAAACATTTAGAAATGTTTGTAAAAATTGTTGTCAAGGAAAATACTTTTTTTTAAGATTCTGTGGACCGAAATAAATTTGCTATATAAAAGGTCAATTTTTCAGTCTGGGGCAACTTTGAACAAATGAATGTTTATATTGTGTGCTGGCAAGATGCATCACTGATAAGGTGGTCAAGATATGTTCAATAAATTATGATATATTTACTTCTTACTTTTGTTTTTCTTTCGGGGTCAGAGTACTGAAGTTTGCCACTGTAAGTTGGCTTGGTTTCGACACTTTGCACATCTCGTCATGGCGTAGCATGGTGTATCCTCGAAATCAAAGTGTTCCACTTCTGATACACCTATCTTCTCTGAATGTCATGACAAGATAAAAGGCTAACAGCAAGCTGTTCAAATTGAACAACTTTTTGAAGGCGCTTACAAGGATCATCGACAGATGGACGGGGCGATTCCTATGTACCCTCCTGAACCATTTTTTGCTGGTGGTATAATGACGTATCATACCGAAGTATGGTCGAAGTAGGGTTTCAAAGGTTTTACCTCTATTTCTCCAATTGAGCCCCGCCCTTCTGCCCCCTGCTTATACAAAATTGTTTCCCCTTCACCCAAGGCTGCTTCACACTCGCTGTTTATACGAAATCGAGTCCCTTTGCCTAAGGACGTTCCAGACAAAATTAGGAAAATATCCCTCATTCCCTATGGTATTAGTGGGATTATAAAGGTTTTACCTATATTTCCCCTATTGGGCCCCGCCCCTCAGGTCCCAGAGGGGCCACACCCACCGTTTATACAAAATTGGTTCCCCTTTACCAACGATGCTCCACACCAAATATGGACCAATTCCTACAGAAGAAGGATTTTAAAGAATAATCTGCAATTTTTCCCCTATTGAGCCCTGCCTCTCAGGCCCCTGGGGGGGCCAGACCCACCGTTTATACAAAATTGGTTCCCCTTTACCAAAGGATGCCTCAGACCAAATATGGAACAAATCCTTTCATTCCTACAGAAGAAGGATTTTAAAGAATTTGCTATATTTACCCTATTGGGCCCGCCCCTCAGCCCCAAGGGGGGCCAGACCCACGGTTTATACAAAAATTGTTCCCCTTTTCCCAAGGATGCCTCAGACCAAATATGGAACAAATCCTTTCATTCCTACAGAAGAAGAAGGATTTTAAAGAATTTGCTATATTTCCCCTATTGGGCCCCGCCCCTCAGACCCACCATTTATACAAAATGTGTTCCCCTTCCCCCAAGGATGCTTCTGTCCAAATTTGGTCTAAATCTGCTCAGTCGTTCATGACTAGTAGCGTTTTAAAGGAAATGTTGACGGACGCTGCAGTATGTCATAAGCTCACCATGGTCCTTTGGACCAGGTGAGCTAATAAAGGGAAAAAAAGTCTAGTGCTGACAAAACACCTCTATTTTATTATTCCAACAACTTTGCCAAAAGAAATGACCTACTGTGAACAATACCAAGGAGGTTTTCATCTACCTTTCAGTAGGCCTGGCCAGTCATCTTCTCACACAATACATTTAGAGTTTGATACCATTATAGTTGCTGTTACTATTGTGAATACTCTTGTTGATTTTATTGGGCTATTTTATCTACAAGTTAGATTATGTCAAATCCATCAGTGTGGATTGTAGAAAAAAAGTTCAAATACAATAAAATAGGTAGCGGTCAGAATCCACGACGTCTTTGCCCCAGATGCGATTTAAAATTCCTAAAGAAACAGCTAAGATGTGTCTAGATCAATTCCTCCAGTAATAATTAATGTGAAACTGATGTGTTTTTACTCCCAGGTAAAATAGTATAAAAGATGTCCCCGACAAAATATTTCAAATGTTGAAGTCAAGGGTCAAAGTGACCTACTTTTAGTACATATAACTCTGCCATCCCAAGACGTACGTATACCTATATGCCAAATATGGTCAATATAGTATAGGAAGTATGCACTGGACAACTTCTTCCAAAGTCAAAGCATAGACCAGTCACCCAATTTGTCCTCACAGTCTGCCATCCCAGAATGTACTTTTACATCAGATCTGTTTACTCCAGGTGAATGTGAAACAGTGTAAAAGTTAATCACTGGACAAAACTTTTTCCAAGGTCAAACCACAGGTCATTGTGACCTACTTTTTGTCCATCACACTATGCCATCCCAAGATGTACTTGCATATCAGAGCTGATCTAGTATAGACGATATGTCCCACACAAACTTTTCAGCCGGAGGGAATCACAATCTTGTATATTTGAGCAATCATGGGAAAACATACTAATTTTGCAATTATTTCCATATATCCAGTCTCCTTAGCTTAAGAATGGTCCAGACTAAATGAAACTTGATACTACTCTATCTCATCATGCTACTGGTCATCACCCAGAGCCTCCTGGTAATACAGAAGTTGTTTAAAGGTTTTAACATATTCAACAACTTCGATCTTGAAATGGGTCAAGGTCATTTATTTTAGAAATTGATCACATTCAATGCCACGTACCTACTGGCCAACTATCATCGTCCTTGATCTTATTATTCAGAAAAATGGTTTCAATATTTATGCCAGTGGCCTTGAAAGTAGGTCAAGGTCATTCATTTTAGGAATGCTTATAGCAATCCATCCAAGATGCCTTCTGTTCTGGCCAAGTCTATTTGACCCATGACTTTCAACATATGTCAAGGTCATCTTTTCGAGGAAATTTTATAGCACTACATCCCAGGTTAACTACTGGTCAAATATAATCACCCTGGGCCTCCTGGTTATTCAGAAGTTGTTTGAATATATTTATACATTTGACCAATGTGGCTTTGAAAGTGCATGAAGGTCATTTACTTGAAGAAACTTTATAGCACTCCATTCCAGGTACCTACTTGACAAATATCATCACTCTGGGCCTCCTGGTTATTCATTAGAATTTGTTTGAGGATTTTTTTTTTTATAAATATTTGACTGACCTTAAAAGTGTGTCAAGGTCATTTATTTTACAAAACTTTATAGCACTCTGTTTCAGGTACCTAGTGGCCAAATATGGCACTAGGTCATCCAGTTCTTAAGAAGTCGCTCAAAGAAAACGTTAACACACAACAGAGAACACACCAGAACACTGGCTTAACTGGCACTTCATGCCTGCTAAGGTAAAAGCTTTGCACCCAAAACTTGTTTAAAATAACAGAAATAGAAAAATTTCAATTATAAAAGAGAAATACAAAATTTCCTTTTTCCCCATATAGGAAATTAAAAAGTACTGGGGAAGTGCATTCAACCTTGACATACATAGGAATTTGGCAAATGCGAAACGTCAGAAAGTCGAGGAATTTCCCAACCAATTTAACATGACATGGTACGTACAAAAGACAAACAAAATACTGTTCGTTTCAAAATTTTATCAGTCAGCACATGATTTGTAGGTATGAAATTGATGTAGTTATAAATAAACTATGGTGTAAATGCCACGTCAAATAGAACTTTTCCCCACAATAATTTGTCATACCAAATGATACCCCCTCTCTTCAGTACATATTTTCTCAGAAATATGAGACTTGGCTGCAATCGGTGACAAATCATAAGTATCAAGTATCTATTTAAATATACAGTGTCGCATGAAACAAGACTTTATACACGAGGTGAAATTTACAAACATAAATCTGATGATGAAATATGAAACATGACGACAGAAATCAGAGAAGTTTACCTCTCCCTCCCCCCAGGAGTACGAGCAGACACCAGTGTCAAATTGCTACCACAAGTTCAGATCACAACACTTTTCTCGTTCACAAAAATGAATGTTGGTCCAGTCCGAGCTTTACGCCTTAGTGCACGACATGCTCATCCTCAATGACAACATTGTTCCTGTAGTCGAATCCAGAAAGATCCAAATAGCTGTCAACACACACGCCTCACGACGCCACAGCTTCAGTGGGTTTTGGTGCATCATCATTCTCGGCTTTCTTCGCATCCACATCCTTTAAAGAATCACAACATTATTACCGCCACAATAAGATACTCTGTTAAGTCTGCACAACCATCAATTTTTCAGGCCATACAGAATTTAACTTTTACACTAAATCCTTGCCAGTCCATTTTGGGAATTTTTTTCCCAACCATCTCGATGTACTTATTAGAATTCCATGTTAATGATTAGAATTCCATGTTAATGATTAGAATTCCATGTTAATGGCCAGTCGTTAAGAAAGCAGATGTATGCAATTTGGACACCTTAGAAAAGTTTTATTTTTGAATCCTGAAGTTATTAACAGAATGATCTAAATATTTTCAGTGAAGATTTTTGGTGATGCTTATCTACATCCTCCAGAAACCTTGGTCAGATTGACTATAGACTGCAGCGATACATAAATCATGAACATGTCACGATCCTGTCCACCAGTCATTGAAACCATTGGTGAATTTGAACCAACTTTTATATAATTGCGTTAAGGAACAAATACTAGGAAGATCTGATATCTATACTTACCATAGTATCTTTGTCTCCCTCAACTCCATTCATCTTCGGTGGGGCATCACCAGATCCATTCTCCTGGCGCGTTTTCTTTGCTTCGACTGGCTCTTCCTCTTCATCCGGCTTCCTCTATAAGAGTGACGGTTTATATACATATAATCCAAGGAGAATGGACAACATAACACATCTACCCAAAATTTATGAAAATTACTTGACTCAAACGCGAACACTCATCAGAAGAACTGCCCACGAATAAATTACAAAATACATAATATGAGTAAATACAAAGTTATGATGTGGAAGGTCACAATACCCTAAAAGTTTAAAACTAACAATGGAAATGTGAACACTTATTTGACTTTTGACCTCAATGTCAAGGTCACAATGACCTAATGACAATGCACTGCATATCTTCTGTGGGTGATGCAGGTATACTGCAATATTCATCAAAGATAACTTGAACGGTTTAAAAGTGATATTTGGACAATAAATTATAAGAACTACAAGAAAAGAAATCGGTAATGAAACAATAGGACCTTCATTCAAATGGGAGACCTAATAAGGTAATGTAATTTTAATATCAATCTACATTAATGCACAAGTTTTGAGAGTTGTTAAATAATCAATCATGGTACTGAACCCATACTGTTATCTAGAACTTCATTTCACTGGTGATGGGATACAACCCTTTGCAGTCTCGCTGCAGCAATAAGTAACCAATTGTTCAGCAAGAGGCAAAAAGGCTATCGGTCAACAGAGGGAAACAATATGTATGATGGGATACTGCAGGAAGAGATGTGTATTGAAGAAATTTAATGATTATTTGCAAAGATGCTGGGTTTAATTGACTAGAAAATGTTCAACTGATAATGTCGTTTAAATAAGATTTTCTAAGTTGACGAGTTTTGCAATCATATTGGCTATCCGAAGGACCAGGGAAAATGTATTATTTGTCAAAAACAAATACTGAAACTTTATATGTGGGTTTGATGATTTCACTGCGGCAAAATTGACAGCACCTTGGATAACCCTTTCGACTTCGTCTGTCAGCTTTCTGGTTATCTACCCCTGGCAAGTGTGCAGCTATAAGCCATAAATCTTGCTCTCTTGCCCATTGCCATATCTGTCTGGATATATATAGGTCATCTAGTGCTTTCTTAGAACCACCCATATGGTTGATGTAGGCCACAGCGGTAGTATTGTCTATTTGTAATTTCAGTCTTATTTCTCTTTTCAGTACAGAATACCCAGAGTGAGAACCAAACAGCCAATAATTCTAAATAATTTATATGAATCTCTGCTTCTTCTGCAGTCCAGTGTCCCCCAGTTTGCTTTCTCTTACAGACTCCACCCTACCCAGTGTTTGATGCATCGGATGCAAGTCATGCTGGGGTCTGCAGTTACAATGGGGTTTGAGACATTGTGGATATCGTCTATCCACCAAGTCGTCATCTTTACACGTTTGTGTCAGTGACATGTGTCCATTAAAATTGCCATGATTTAACTTTAACGCCTTAGCTTTGTTGTTATCAATTGACCTATAGTACAACTTGCCATATTGAACCCCTGAAAAACTTGAAACTATCAATCCAACAACCGAAACATCATGGATTGTAATTTTCTTGGCTTTTAACAAATTTTGACAAGCAGTCCAGACTTTGGTTGCCTTTTCTGGCATAAGTGATAGTCATATCAATCAAATTTAAAATAAACCCGAGATTGTATTGTTCCGAGATGGGGTGAAGATGGACTTGTCTGGGTGTATAACTAACCCCAGGTCTTGTGACATATGTATTGTCCTGTAAACCTCTGCTACACTCAATGTGCGAGTCCCCAACCACCAATGAATCATCAATATAGGATACTATTTGATGGCCCCTTTTGTTAGTTTTGTGAAAAAGGGGAGGAGCTGATGCTAGACCATTTGGTAAGGCGATGAATTCATACAACTGTCCTTCAAATTGGAAACGCAAAATCTTTCTATGTTCTGAAGCTATAGCCACTGAATAATATGCATCTTTCCAATCTGTTAATGCCATAAAACAGCTTTCTCTCAAAAGATCAATGGGCGTCTGTAAAGTATCCATTTTAAAATGGTTATAATAAACCGACTGATTCAGATTTTTTAGATTTAATATCCTGTACGAACCATCTTTTTGGGGGCTCAGAAAAATGTTTCGACACATATTGATCAGTACACTGTGTCACAGGTCGGATAATTTGCTTTCTTTTCCAAGTTTTGAGACTTGTTTGCACGAAATACATTTCCGCATCCGTAAATGTGTATGGATGTGTAACTTTTGAAAAGGTATTTCGGAAAATTCAATGTTATAGCATTTTCCACGATATCCAGTAAATAGGCATCCCAGGTTATTTTAAACCATGCATTTAAATGTTGTGAAATACACCCAGCTTGAAAATCAGCTGTCAATTCAATACTTTGTGCGTTATTAGCACTCGCCTTGTTTCCTGCTTGCGGATTTGTTATTGTTGGTGTTTCCTGTTCTGTTGTCCCCTGCCTCGGTCCCGTGGACTCTGGCTGTGATTCTGGTTTTGATATACACCTCTGTTGTAAGGGCGGTAACTCGTATATCCGTACTGGTTTTTTGGAGGGCCGTCTTGACCTCCACGGCAAAAGCCGTTTTTTTTTAACCGCACAGTCCGTAGCTATTGTACCTGTTGTGGGATGGCCGCTTAGATAAGAGTTTATACCCAAGGCGATTTTGTCTCCGATATGTCCGATTGTTTGGGCCAGATCCTCCCCGAACAACGACACCGATGGGGTGTTTTGTTGTGCACACAATTGTGCATATTGTCCGTTTAAATCAGGTTTGATAAACTCCTGACGACGGCGACTGATCTCTTGTGTAGCACTGGTGATTAAGTGAAAAGAGTCAAACAGCAGTTTTACTGCTGACGAGGCGTCTATGTGTTTCTTCTCACTTTTCTGTTCGAGCAGTGTCCACAACCTGAACTAGCGGAATCAGTCCTTTGACAAACCACGTCCGACTGCGTTGCAGTTTTATGTTCCGAATTTGAGTAATAGTTTTCAATTTCCCCCATATTTCGGGGTACACTTTTTGATATTGCAATAGTTCGACATTCGCCGGCCGACTGTATTTGTCCAACATTGGCTTGATTTTGTCATCTGTCACATTTTGTGACAAGATATTGTTCATCAGTGTGGCAAGTTAAGAATCCATGTCCAGCCCAACTGCATCGTTATAGGCACATGTCTCGCACAGCTCTGAAATGTATCTACGTCAATGTTTTCTTCCTGAACCTCGCAGGCCTGATCATCTGTACTGTCCGTGGCGGTATGATTAGGCTCAAATAAATCGTCAAGTTTGTTGGCAAATGTAGACTGCTTCGTCACATTCCATAGCTTGTGTATCGGCCGCACTTACCGAGTTTGTCGCACTTGTAGTGTTAGGGCCCCAACAGACCCTTTTGTCTCATGAATTGCGACACTGTTCATTTTTGGTGGCCACTAAATCATTAATGAACTGCAGTGATTCCACCTGCATCTGTTTTTGGTTATCCAGCATCGTGGATAGCGATGTGGTAATGGCCGACGCAAATTGTAACAATGGATTGCTATCCACTGATCCAGTCATTACTGGTGTAAGTTGGCTGTACTACAGGCTGGCAGTGTCTTTCCGCCATTTTCAATTTGACCTGTGGTCGTGGGGCGAGTGGTTGAGGCATGTTTTCTAACTTTCGCCACTGGCAATTGGACCATAGTTTTGGAGATTTCTCCAAGTAAGTCAAATTCTCCAACTATACGTTGGTGCTTCCCACTCTTGCCGTCCTGCTTCGACATCATTAGTTTACCCTGGATTTCCTTTGTTCTGGTCTCGCCAATATGGCGGTCACACCGTGGACGGTGGTCAGTGTGTTGCTCAATACTGATTTAAGTCTGTTGTCGGCCTACCGTGCTGTGCACGTCTATAAATGTGTTGACAATCAGTTACTTGTAACTTTTGTCATTGTATAGAAATGTTTAGAGTTCATAAAATATCAAAATTGTTCGATAGATATGAAGTTTTTGTCAGAGCAGAATTGTCCGTCGCTGACCAAGTTAGAAGATCGATCGCTAATGCTAGAAGATGCGCACACACCTCTCACATGGTCCGTAGGTATCACTCAGAAGTGAAACAGAATTTCGAACTGACCATGACCATGAACTTGTCAAAAGCTCTAAGCCATACAACAAATGAAGTCAAGACTTTGATTGATCTAAAACTTGCAATACTGTGCAGAAACTTATTTTCGATGTTTAACCTATTAACAAATTTTGTAAAACTGTTGCAACTTAATTACCTTTCTGCGAATCAGATGACTGATGTCTGTAGCTGGCTTTTTCGGCTCCTGTAAAACAAAGATAAAACAAAGCTGGTCAGACTTTTTGACATCACATTTAAATCAGTTCTTTGCAAAAAAGGGGAAAAACTATATTGCAATTACAGATAAAGGAGTATTATTTCCCTGACAAAACATGCCACCTTGCTCCGATGACTTGAAACAGGTTCAAGCTTCAGTAATGTGGACTTCTAAAATACTAATCAAATTCTTGTCTCTGTACTTACAACTTTGACTTTTTCCTCAGGTTTCTGCAATCCCAGACTTTCAGTGATCTGTTGATTAAAACAAAGAGCTGTTGAAGAATAGCATAGTCATATATTCCAAGTTGGTAAATATCAACAGAAATACATATATCTTGACATGTTGTAGGTTGCCAAACTGTTATTGTTATTGAATACATGATCTTTTGTTGTACAATACAAAATATGGGCTACAGTGACGTCACAGTGTAAAATATAGATGTACATCTCAATATTATAAAATATCATTACGATAGAAAAACATTACGATAGAAAAACTTTTGGAAATTGCAAAGAATCATCAAGCATTCCAGAACAAATTGAATTTAAATTAAGCCCTTTTGGCTTTTTAAAAATATGAATTATGTTTCAGCACATCCCCTACACTCCAATATACTACACTCCATATAAATGCCTCAACTTTATAATAGTGATTAATAATATTTGGCAGAAGTACATTTTATGTGGGAAACAAAAGTTCCGAGGATAACAACACCAGGTCAGTCACACAAGGATTACAGGTCGATTATGGCCAACCTTTCCCTTACGAGTAGCATACAGCAAGCTTCGATTGCCTTGGTCAATGATGCTCTTATTGTTATGAATTTCTCCCCTAATATTTTTCAGGATATACGAAGTGGCACACTCACACATATATGATGCGCACCATTCACCCACTCGCATCATCACACTTGAGATTTGTTATAAACCTAATCAGTATTGAATCGGTTATAAGCAAGATGAACAGTTTTGAACAGTTTTGAACAGTTCACCCCAGTAGGTCTTCTGCCATAGGTCTTGCAGCCACATATAAGGTGACTAATCTTTACATACCAAATATGAATCACTATTGTAGGTCAACTGACCAGATATGATGACCTATCGCTGTCGGCCAGTGGACCAGACATGATGACCTATTGTTGTTGGTCAGTAGACCAGATATGATGACCTATCGCTGTCGGTCAGTGGACCAGACATGACCTATCGCTGTCGGTCAGTAGACCAGATATGATGACCTATCGCTGTCGGTCAGTAGACCAGATATGATGACCTATTGCTGTCGGTCAGTGGACCAGACATGACCTATCGCTGTCGGTCAGTAGACCAGATAGGATGACCTATCGCTATCGGTCAGTAGACCAGATATGATGACCTATTGCTGTCGGTCAGTAGACCAGTTTACAGAACAGATATGATGACCCATTACTGTTGGTCAGTGGACCAGACATGATGACCTATCGCTGTCGGTCAGTGGACCAGACATGACCTATCGCTGTTGGCCAGTGGACCAGACATGAAGACCCATTACTGTCGGCCAGTGGACCAGATATGATGACCCATTACTGTTGGCCAGTAGACCAGATATGATGACCTATTGCTGTTGGTCAGTGGACAAGATATGATGACCTACTGCTGTTGGTCAGTAGACCAGATGGCCATCAACCTTTGTAGATACACCTACCACAGACATGCCCTCTTTTGCCATTTTCTTCAACTCCTCAATTTGTCTTCGTTCCTCATTTACCTCATCTACCTGTAGGACAAAAAGGGTTATCTTGACAAATGAGTTTCTGGGAGCTACATGACATGTTATGATCGACTTTAGTAGCAACTGGAAAGAAGTGCAATAAAGATTAACAAAGATTCATATCAATTTCCCCTAATCTTCACTGTATAGAAGAATTGTAATACCATACACTACCTTGCCTCTAATGTCTGGTAAAATTTCTTTCAGATCACTTATTTCTTGTTCTGCGAGTTTCTTTGGATCATCAAAGCTTCCTTCTGTGGATGCAAGAAAAGCACATCAAAGATGCTGAACAGTACAGCATACATGGTACACAACCTACTACTTGGATCTCCACACATTTATCATCAACGTATTCCAGTATCTATCAAGTCTTAGTGGCACAACAACACGGTAAAAAACGGGAAAAGAAAAACTGGATGGTTTAAGTTTCAATATCCAGTTCAGGCATTATGACATTTGAACATCTTCTCCGACATGTAATAACAAGTGCTTCTCACCTTTTGCAGGTGGGAACTTGTCCTCTTCTACTCGCTTCTTTAGCGTTTCTGTCAAACAGATGAAACATCTTACACAATCAACAAAATAAACCGAAATACAATTTCCTCATTAAAATATCACCTTCCCAGGTATAACTCAAGATAATAGTTACAGTATTGCCATAAAATACACTCGAAACAGCTATGTTCCCTTTCAGTTAATTATCCTCGCATGTGTTTCTTGTTGGGTGGTAAATCACCCTCCATGTCTTTCCCATGTCTCCCTACATTACGACAACCCTTTCTCCCGTACATCCTTTCAGTTTTGCGATCGCCTTCCCTACCTATTTTGCTTTCCATCACTTTGACTGCTGCCCGGTAACTGTCTATCGACTCGTCATACTGTTTGTTGAAGCTGTATGCAAGCCCCAGCTGATAATGTCTTCATGTTATCAAGGAATGTATAACTTGTGATCTACAAAACTCTCATTTTATAAACAGTAATTAAAAAGAACTAGATTCCAAGTAGTACAGACCATCAAGTAATATGCAACACATCCGACACCTGTCCATCCTACATCTATCACTAAAATCAGTCTAAATTTCATTATCTTCAGCAAGTCAAAATATGGCCCAGACAATTTTAACTCAATGTGACCTTCACCTTGGGCATACAGACCCAACTAGTGGTTTGCAACCCTATATGAAGGTTTTTTTCGGTAGACCCTAAAAAGAGCGTTTTGACTCCCCAAAATGAGATTTTGACTCTTGGGTTTTGATGCATTGACTTTCCAAAATGGAGTTAAAATTTAATGTGACTTCTGGCATAAAAGTCAAATGAAAGCACTGTATTACAGTTTATCACATACCTGTTGAATCTTGTTATAGTAATACAAGCAATGTTCAGACCATGAAATACAACATTCTGTATTGCACATGTGCAATACGGAATGTTGTATTGACCAACTAGACGGAAATACTTTTTATGGGAATCCCCTTGTCATGACGAACTGAAAAGTTTCAGGCATTTGCAAAAAAAAATCAAAGTTTATAAAATCTTTGTATCGATCTCTACCAAAGTCGGAAGGTATGTGATAAAAGCAAGACCACACACTTGTGTTTTTCTAAGGAATCGGAAAGCACTCATTTATTGCGCGGACATATATATATTCGTCCGCGCAATAAACTCATGCTTTCTGATTCGTTAGAAAAACACAAGTGTGTGGTCTTGCATATATATATCCCTAATATTTCATTGAGCCACCCTCCGGGAGTTGGAATCTATGGCTCGAACGAATAAATTTGACCTGACCTCAATGTGACCTTGACCTTGGGTTCACAGATCCAATTGTTGTTTGCAATTTACTGCCTTGACATCCTTCATATATCCCTTATATTTCATGAGTTATCTTCAGCGAATCAAATGTTATTGTCTGGACAATGAATGACAACTCTTGACCTCAATGTGACCTTGACCTTCAGTGGGTGCACGACACATTGCTTTGCCATCCTACATATTTCCCTTAAATTTCCCCCAACATCTGCAGGGAGTCAAAAGTTACAACCCAGGCAAACAAGACATACAGCTGCATAACATACTCAAAGCATCATCGAGATAACAAAATCCACTTTAATATAGAACTTGAATATAGTTCAGTCATTCCAATTTTTTTTTAAATTTTGTAACACCAAATTTGGCAAAATATGTCATTAGGCCTTTTAATTCTGATGATGTTTCAAGTATTTCAAACCAATTGGGCCACTGGGACTTTGAATATGGGTTAGTCATTTATTTCTTCAAAGTTTCTAGAGCTGGATTTTAGCATGCTGCATGCATATATATTATGACTGAGCATTTTTGTTCTTCAGAAGAAGCCATTTGAATGTTTACCAGACTTGACCCCTGTACCTTTACATATACCTCAAGGATATTTCTTTTCTATTTTCTGAAGCACTCAATTCAAACAAGCCACTGGCTTAATATCATGACCTTCAGCCTCTTGGTGTCTCAGAAGATTTAAACGATTTAACACATTTGACCTCTGCTACCTAATTATTGAGCCAACAGTAACTTGCTCCTCTCTTCATGGTGGCAATGCTGTGAAACGTTTGGAACGGTTTCAATGTTTATACTTTACAGTAAGGATTAATCCACCAAGATTAATGGAAATGCTGTAAAGGATACGTTTCTGCCAGTGACCGATCTTCTGGCTCCAATACGGAAGTTTGAATATTTAGGCACTCTGTGAAATCCAATACGGATTGTGGATATTGCTCTGAAAACAAAACATTCCAAAAGATCAATTACAACCAGTATAAATAAGTTTCAACCTCATCCAAGGACCATCTCAATTTGTGGTTATAACTAATATTCATTCATAAGTTTATAGAAATAAAATCAAAATGAGTTTGTACGAGGGTGTGTTTTCTTGCATTTATTACTTTATTATTTTCCTTCATATGCTTTAATTAAAGTTGATTGCAGACATTATATTAGACATGCCCCTAAAGAAAACGTTACATTTCATTTCTGCGATAACCATATCAATAATGTGTATACCTGTTTCAAGACTAACTTCTCCCAGCTTTAGATAGGCATCAGCTGCCTTCAATTTGGCCTCCTTGTCCTCGTCCCTGAAGATCCGAAACTTTTAGTATTTCCAAGTTTATCATACATTACAAATACGGAATGTAAAGTTTTATGTAAAGTGGATAATAATCAATTACCTGGTAATTAGTCTCCTTGCTATAATATGTCATCTGTTATTACTGTTGATGCGACATGTATATTTGCAACATCACAATTATGACCATGCCCATTAACATAGAGGTTCCAACAACCTCGTCTTTGTTACATTGAATAGCTCTTTTCTACCCTGCAGATATTGGAGAGAGAAAAACCTGTCGGCAATGCCCTCTGTATGCTTCAACTACCAATCGTCTATCATAAATGGTTCTTTATCCTTCCATCAATTATGAAGAAATGAAAATATTAGTATTAAAACATTCGTACCACTGAATTGTTACATTCTATGAAATTAGATGAAAACTTACTTTAAATATATAACTTTGGCCAGCTCCAACATTTCCCAAGCCAGTTGAAGATTTGATACGTCATCAGCATTTTCCTTCAAAACACAATGACATACTCGAGTTTTATCCTCAAAATTCACAGAAAACACATAATTAGGAATCAAAGCAATACTAGTGCAAAAATATGAACCATATATTAAGTGTTATGTTTACCTCCCCATCTTTCTCTCCCTGTGATCCCTCCTCTTGTGAGTTATCGCCTTCCTCTGCTGTGTCTACTGCCTCACTCTCATCGTCTTCCTCTGTACCCTCTTCCTCCGTGCCTTCCTCGCCTTCTTCCTCGTCCTCTGTACTGTTCTTCGTAGAACTAGATTCACCTTTAACCAAAATATACAGCTATACAGCCTGTTGTCTCGACCGAGCCATCCCAAACGCACAAAAGCCTGAACAAACAATAATGAATATAGGCGGCAAAACTTTTGTTTTAGATAAAAAGAACTAGAAACTGAACTTGGTATTCTAAACTTGAGCTGAAACCAACAATTATTGAATGGACTGAATTTAAGTGTTGTTACCAATTTTAAGCAATAACTGATCCTTTCTAAATGTTCAGGAGATTTTCTTACAAATTTGCATTTTAACCATACATACAGTTTATAATTCAAGACCATAAATGCTGTTACTGAAGTTTCCTAATCTCTTTGTACCAACTACAATGCTCATGCAAAAATCTTATCAAATGTGAGCAATGCAGGATAGCACTCAGAATTAGATTGACAAGCTTTGAAAGCACTTGTACATGCAAAACAGAATTTCAAATGCACAAGAACATGTTAACATGCAGAGATCTTCAAGAGTTAAAAAGGATTAATTCTGTAAACCTTTTGCTAATTTGAGGTAAAACGTTTCATTAACAATTGTCCATTTCTTAGAATCCTAACTATGATTAATTAATTGGCCAAAATGTGGTAGGTCAAATCATAAATACCAGTGACCTATTTCTTGTACTTTCCGTTTGACTATTTTTTCAGTTTTCCTACAGTCAACAAAGATATGTATCTCCATCCTAGATATTCATTTATAATAAGACAGATAATAGTTTCTTCTGTTGCAAAATCAACATATTTTCAAAATATTTGGCCTTGATTGCTACAACAACAATATTTCATGTTAGTACAAAACATGCGAGTAAAATGCTGCCATGCAGTGCTGAAGGAGACGCAAGCTCCCAACAAAACATTGCTATGCATTGGTGAAGGAGACGCAAGCTCCTAACAAAATGCTGCCATGCAGTGGTGAAGGAGACTCGAGCTCCCAATAAAATGCTGCCATGCAGAGCTGAAGGAGACGCAAGCTCCTAACAAAATGCTGCCAGGCAGTGGTGAAGGAGACTCGAGCTCCCAACAAAATGCTGCCATGCAGTGGTGAAGAAAACTGCAGTGAAGGAGACTTCAGCTCCCAACATGTCCCGGGCTCCCCAAAACATAATAAACCTTCAGCTTTTTTCTCTTTCTTCTCAAGCTTTCCATCTTTCAGTGTGTCTTCCTTGTCTTTTGCCTCTTCCCCTCCTTTTTGAGATGATTTATCTTCATCTTTCTCTTTTTTGTCATCCTTTTTCTTTTCATCCAACTTTTTCTTTTCATCCGATTTATCTTCATCTTTCTCTTTTTTGTCATCCTTTTTCTTTTCATCAAACTTTTTTGTTTCCTCTTTTTCTTCTTCTTGCTTATCCGCGGATTTCTCGTCCTTTGTAACTGCATCATCTGTTTCCATAGATACTTCCTTTTCATCCTTCATTTCTACTTCTGCTTTCTTATCCTTCTTCTCGTCATTTACCTTGTCTTTATCTTCACTCTTGATATCACTTTTCTCAGCAGCCTTCTCATCTTCTTTTTGTCCGTCCTTCTCTCCATTCTTTTCTTTCTCTTTCTTTTCAGCAGCAAGTTCTTGTTCAGACATTGCTTCAACAACTTCAGCTCTAAGTCTGTAACGGTCCTCAACTATAAGAGAGGTGCAAATAGTGTTTCAATTGCAACCCTTATCATACAGAATAAACTTTTTAAAGCTGAAAGCATGCATGATCAAAGCAGGTTTTTGATCTTTCTTCAATGGTGGTGGGTGGGGGAATAATATCATTCCTCCAAAATAATTCTGTATATGACCATGGTAAAGTGTTTACTAAAACCAAGAAATATTTCAAATTGAAATGTTAATTTATTAGAAGAAAAATCTCAGTAATAAAAGACTTGGTGCAATTTTTTTCCGGTCATTACTACTGTATTCACAGCGTCCTGTTTGATCACTTGTCAAAACAAGAGGCCTTGAATTGGGGGATTGTAGTGTTTGTAAATTTAAGCTATCATGGCAAACGTTTTCTCTGAAGGCTCAGTCTCTGGTCAAAAGGATGGATGTACTTACCAACTCTACCTATTTTAGACCATAAAAGTGAGCATTTTCTACCAGTGTTATTTCCCCCTAGGGTGTACATACACATTTTATTTATGGTTTTAATTAAAATTCCTAGCATAATGATCTGCCCCATGGAAATTTCAAAAAGTTGGCAGCAAGTATGAAGAGAAGTTTGGTCAAGGTCTATAACACTTGTTACAAGGATCTCTATAGTTTCCATGTACTTGTAGCGACCTCAATATAAAGGACCTATACGGGTCTTCCTGGTCAAATTAAGATACCATTATTCATTATCAAAAAAGGATCTCGAAAATTCACCTATGTTCCCCACTATTGGGCCTTACCCCTCTGCCCCCAGGAAGGCCATATCCTCCCTTTTCACAATAGCTTGCAATATTTTTGCTCTTGTCCCATATAGCTACATCAATGTTCAAATAATAAACATTAATCCTTGGTCTTGATAATCTTTGGGGTTGTCCTTGGCTTATTCAGTATGCAATACATTGCTAATTAATACAAGTGTCTGAAAAGTGTGGCATGTTGTTCATGTCAAAAGATGTACCACCAAAAAGTGGCGTCTGTAATCATGGAGTGGACCAAATGTTAACTTCTGCTGAAAATCATGGCAGTTGATGACAGAATCTGAATCGCAGTCGAGTTTCACTTTTGTGCTGAAAATGAGGCTATCACATGTTGTTCAGTGCCTTAAGTAACATAATGGAGATTTGACACAAAATCTATGATTAACATTGTTTAGTACATTACAGAACTATATTGACAATAGACAAGCAGCCCCATAGGCTGTAGTCGAGACTGTACCACTATTCACTAGCGATAGGTTCACGTCGGGTGGAATCAGGACTGGTTACACAAAAATCAATAGCTTAAAGTAGCAACATGCTTAAAAATAAATGCATCGGCACATTTACTAGTAGATGCATGCAAATACATGTATGTTTATTTGATAAAAGATGCACCATTCCCAAGCCAAACTATTAAAATAAAGTGGGCCGTGTTATATAATACTAGTAAATACAATACTGAAACTAACTACCAAAAGTTACAACATTTCACCAAAGAAATTCAAGGACAAGTTAGCTGGTTAATTTACCTTCCATATCTACTTTTTCAAATTGTTCATCAGCACTTTTCTCTCCATCTTCTTCCTCTGGTACTGCAATATCAATTTTTATTATAAACACAAGATTCAATCTGTAAATGACTCTTAAACCTTGGATGTTATCAGGTTTGTATTCAAATGAAAACGGTTTTCCCTAATCTCTTAAAGATAGTACAACATATGTTAATGTATATTAGGCCAAATAAAATTAATAACTTGGTTCTCAGGCCAATTTTTTTCAAAATAGATGCGGCAGGGCGGTACTTTTTTCCCCATTTTACATGGCAAAAACGAGACGAGGGCGATTTTTTTTTATTGTGTGGTTTGTTAAACGTTCATTGTGGACATTACCTTGTCTTTTTATAGTTGTGTGGAGACCCGTCATAGAGCAAGCCTCCGAAACTCCCCCCACAATGTTCCAGAGGAGAATCATGAACCCCCCATTCCTTATTTGTACAGAAATTAGCGCCATTTGTATACAAGACTAATAAGTCATAATCATTTAAACGCTTGCCTGTATCTCAATCCTTACCTTTATTCAAAAGTTTTCGGAACTTGGGTGACTAACGAGTAAAAACACCATGCGGACCAATTTTCCGGATTTTTTTGAAGATGGCGGCCGACGCATTCACGATTTTTTTTATCATTACTTTCACAATAAAATCGGCAATGCGCACGGTGCCATGAAATGCGCGCGGGCCCTAGAACCAAGTAATCAAATTTGTTTGGCCTTAATACTGGTTTTCAATGATTAACAAATGTTTATCATTTATACATTAAACTTCTTTTTGGAGCCAATTGATAAATTGCATACATTTCTATACCTATTGACTAATGTCTTGTTCTAGCCGAGTGCTTTTACAGGCTTATTACCATGGAACTTAATCAAATTCTTAGAGCTGTTTACCTATTATAGCCCAAGCAGAAAGATTGTAACTATGTACTAGTCCATATAACCTACTAAAACATGACGGTGCTTGAAGCGTTCAATATTTATTTTTGTGAATCTGGGAGTAGGTACACAAAGGTTAATTATATATATATAACAGGTATACACCGGAAACTTTATAGCACTCCGTCTGTGGTACCTATTGACCAAGTTTCAAGACCATCTGCCTTATGGAAATCAGAATCTTATTGAAGTTAATGATCATTTTTTACCCTAGCATTCCCGTAAAGCTGACCTTTGACCTCGATACCAAATAAAAGTTAACAATTTGCACTGTTGGTTTACATAAAACACCTAATTATTATGGCTGTAGACTCTAGTTCTTAATTTAATGTTACTATAAACATCATTGAATACCGTGACCATAAATGCAAGTCACAATAATTTATATGAAGAAACTTGATTGTACTCCATCAAAGGTACCTCCTCAAAAAGATGTTCAAATAAAAAAGTTGACAGACTCTAATACTGAAGAAGGTGAATGTAACGGAGGAGTAAGAAAGGACCATAACTAACAAAATTTAACATGTATTCACATGGCCACTTTATGATATGAGAATCTTCAGTCAAAAACAGTGAGATTAAATGTGGTAACCAGGTTCTGTAAACTTAAATCCCTCTGCAATTGGCGAGAGTATAAAATGTCTGCAAGTCATAAATGCCCCCGCTCATGGATGGGGCGCGACAGGTGGACATGGGCAACACTATATGCCAACCCACCCCCTTATTTTATGGCGGGGCATAAAAAGTAGGGAAATCAGCAACACATTTTTGGCTCTAAATTGAATTATAGGGAAAGATTGTTTGCGTTTACCTCCTTGTAGAGCGTTGCCCAATACTCCAGTTTCCATCCTGGCCAGGTCCAGAAGAGCTCGTCCATACTGATAGTAAGCATCTGCACATTCTTTGGCAGTTTCTCCATATGATTTAGAACTGAAATAAATTACAGATCTACTTACCGAGTAAAACATCCAAAAACAGAGCCTTGTTAACCCCATAATTGTACCAAAATATAAAGTAATAAATTGCAAGGGACACACAATTTTCTTCAGTTTTTCTCTCAAGTCGTTTTTGTGCATCAGATTTTTTTCATTTTCTTGTGACCCCCATTTTCTTAAACGCTATATCTAGTGTACATGTCATTCTTGTAAAAATCTTCATAGCATTAAACTTCTTACACTTGACAATCCACCAAACTGCTGCCCATCTCCCACTCTTGGGTCATTCCTTATTCGACACTTCCTGATTTCTTAAGGTCATAGGAGTGTATTGATAAACTGAAGTAGGAAGTACATCCCTAGTTGAAAATCCAATGTAGGGAGACAGTATCACAATTTCCGCATATTCTAATGTTTAATATTAAAGTGATGAATATTGTATGTTTATTAATGACAGAACAGTGTTTTCTCTCAATATTAAAGTATTTCAAAGCAATGCAGGCAATAATTCATTTTTTTTTTATCAATGAGCCACATGTATCCATTTTTCTGTACTTCAGGAAACCGGCTACCTATTTCACTACTGTGAAGTTTTTCAAGAAAGATAACTCTTACCTGCAATTACCATGTGCATATGGTTTTATTATAAAATGTCAATTTTTAATTGTTTATAGAGGATTTATTTGACATAATTTCAGCATTTATTAAATTGATATACATTAATGCAATACTAATCTATGGCAGTATCATTTATATTGACATTATTTTGCAAAATATTGTGTCTTTTATTTTTTTCCAAAGTCACTCCTTTTTTCTTAAATTTCCATTTAAATTCCTTAAAATTATGACAACCTATATTTTTTTTTTGTGGCAGAAAATTGTCTTTCCTTCAAAGCATTATAACTACAAAATTTGAAGAAATTCTGAGAAATGGCGACACGATCCTATTACCTTAAACCAAAACCCTATGCATACTCTCCTGTGATCCCCATTGGAAATTTCACCTGATGTGCAAGTACATTTGTAAATCTAGTTTTTTTTATGATATAACACTCTTCCTACAGAAACTATAATTACTCTAGCTTACTACCATAACTTAGAACTCTGGATACAATTTGGGAAGTGTGCTACTATTCCTTCTGTCCATAACTCTGATGCCTCGTTCAAAATGTCCTTTTTGATTTCGCGATTCAGACTTACAGAACTTTACAGGCCTCCTGGAACTGATTCACAGCTGTTGGTACTTCCCCACAAACCATGTTGCGCTTTCCCTGTGCAATCATGTTCAGAGCAGACACGGAGGCTTCCATCCTGAAATGGTAGTTACAATAAGATTATTGATCTCTTTCAGTCTGAACCGATTCATAAACAGAATAAACTTTGTTAACCATACTACAGTTGTTGTGCAGGATGTTAACTTGCCAAGCATATTTTAGAAAATCTTGCGGTGATGGCAGTCGTGAATGACAAATCCGGACCCAGAATTCATGAATTAAAAATAAAGCCATCGAATACATAATAATCTACATACAAAGAATGTAGTATAATACGCCATTTACCAAGCAAAAGCATAATACCTGGAATATATCAATATATTTAAAAATTGAAACTGTGTTCCTGTTTTGTATTGAATTTGTGCATTTTATGGTGCCACAGGGGTGTAAAAATCCACTAGTCAAGACACCCAGGCAGGGCTACCAGATTTTTAACTTTGGGCTGGGCAGGAGCAGTCCGTTGGGCTTAATGTTTAATGAAGTTGTCATTTTTAAAAACATATCCATTTGTAGAGGTTATATATCGTAATCATGTCGGATCGATAGATCCAATTTGTAATTGTCTGGCTAGCAGAATTCAATTTTGGGCGGATGGATCGTGTCTACTAGCCAAAGGCTAGGGTTTTTTACACCCCTAGGAGCATGTAGAAATCATAATTGGGCAAGTGGATTTATAAGGTCTACTAAATTGGGGGCGAGAGATTTGAAAAATATTTTCATATACTTCAATAAGCAAGGATGACGAAGATGAGGATTAAGTTTAGGAACAAAAGTATGAGATAAAGCTAGACTGTACAAGATAATGGTTACTACATCTTTCAACAAGGTTGCCAAGGTTAATGAGGTACAAGTAATTAACTTCAATAATTAGATGCATCTATTTTCAAATAAATGAAAAGATATGTAGCAATCAGATTAATTTGTTTATATGTTTTGATTTCATTTACCAGTGATTAGTACTAATATTAATACCCGGCCTCCTCTGCCCCGGCTGGGCATAATCAATCCCATACCTTGTAGCAAGCCCAGTGTGAATCACACCATGGCGATTTTTTCTTTTCCATTCGAAAGGATTCGTTTTTTCAGCAATTTTGCAATATTTTGATAACTTTATTATACTCATATGAGGCGTGAATTAGATGTAATCTTGCAGATAAACACTTTTGATTTTGCTCCATTAGTTGGCATAGGACCGCTTAGCTCAGACGACGCAATATATAAAAAAAAAAACTCGTCGACACAAAGTTACGTTTCGCAGCTAACCAGCGATATGTTATATCTTAATAATATTGGAAATAACAAAATGGCAGGGTGTAAAAAAAATCAAACCACTTGCCCCCACAGGCAAAGTTGACCTTACAATTTTTTACTAAATATGAAATTTCATGGAAAAAAGGGTTATTTTTTCTCAGTAATTGCAATATTTTAATGTAAATTACTTTAGCAGTGATGGATTTCTTCAATCATATTTGTATTATTTTTACATTTGGTTCATAATTAAATTCCTCCGAGTACACGGAAAGACTGCTAATATTCCAACGGCAAATGTAAAACTAAGGAAAGAGATGTTTTAATGGACTTTTTGTTTCAATATTGTTTCATATTTGCACATAAGTTTGGGACGACAAAAAGAGAAGTGAAAATTTATTATAATGGTCAGTTCAATGTCCGGAGATTTTCATGTTAATGATGGCCCTTTTGATGTTTGGAACCTGGAGACTCCTGGTCACATCGGGAACAATCACATGTATGCGAGTTCAGTGTCTGAAAGTATCTGTGTGATGTGTGTTGCTCATCTTATATTTAAAAATTCTTCTGCATTTCAGATGTTTACAATAAAAGATAACAAAATATCATATTCTTAGGTGACGAAATTACAGTCAGTACCAATGCATCTAGAATCGGTTAGATACTACTTTGCTTTACTAATGTCACGATGCATCTGTGAAAATGTCCGAGACTGTTTTATAACAGGAGACAGGAAAACCCCATATATATTGCGAGACACTTAATCCAAAACGAGCTCAGTGTTGGGGCCATGTACATGTAGAGCAGGTGTTGGTTGGTTGTTTCAGCAGAGTCAGATCTAGAGAGAGGCAGAAATTAACATATTATCCTTCGAATTCACAGTGGGAGTGTAGGAGGACCATAACACTGGACTTGATGGAAAATTTTCGCAAACATTTATCTCTAGGTACAATGCATCATGTTGTATTGTGGAAAGAAATCATGATTCGATTGTATATATATATACTATTGAATGTTTTAAATCACGTTTGACTGCTTTACGCTGGTTCATTTGTATTTGTTAATCTATTCCACAGTATTCGACATATACATGGCGGAAAGAAATCTCGGTTGTGATGAGTACATAACTATACGTCAGTCTCGCCCTCATCGTATCGCAAAACAATACTAAAAATAAAATGTCCTCGTTTTTCATGGCCAATAATACATACAGAATATAAACGCTAATGGCGAAAGCTGCACAATAAATAGACCATTGTTAATTGAAATTTAGTACGTCAACTTTCACAGCTTATGAACTGTTATTGTTTACACAAACTATTGGTGTAATCTGTCAAACCTTAAAACGATTTCAGAGAATGTCTTTGAGGCCTTGAAGCTGCTTCTTGGATGAACGTCACTGGCACTGAAGCTGACAACTCCTTGGTACCTACCTGTCTTTGTCTGATGACCAGCTAGGGCCCGGATTGTCCATAATTTAGCCCAAGCAAAATACGTGCAAAGCAAAGAAAAACGTGATAATTTCGCGCCTTCTCTCAATCTCAACTTCCGCTAAAGATGTGTATTAGTCTCTAAATAAAATTTATATTCCTCTTTTACATGTCATTTATGCACTAGGATTTTAATACATATCAACACTATATTATGTAATATTTATCTACAAAGGTTGATTGAATACAAGTATTTATTATAATCATAAATATTCAGAAATTCATTGATTGATTTTATATTAAGACTTTTACACAAATAACGATGACGTAGTCCTCTTCAGCGGCGGCCATAGAAAACCTCGTGGGTCTTCATTTTTGTTGATCAGAACTCAGGGTAAATACAATACACTGACATGAAATAACACCTCCATCTTCACTGTACGCTTAAACATGCAGACTAACGTCGATACTGTCGGACTATTTGTTGTACAATTGCATACTTGAAGTCCAAATCAGTGTTGATGTTGACGATCACACGGCGTTGTGTTTGTTAACCGATAAATTAGCATTGACATTCCACCCTAGAGATCCGTTCACTTTCATTCAGCTCGATAAGACTCCACGGTTAATCAACACGTCACCTTATCACTTTGTCGTTGTGTATTTGCCTGAATGTGTGAAACTTTTGTTTCTATTATATCTTATATTTAATTAATAAACGGTATTATAGACATCGACGATTACTGACATATTAGGAAATGCGTTGTAAGGTACGATGCACATGTTTATACAAGTTATCGGATGAAAATTCGTCAAAAGATATTTGCAGTCGAAAGGAGAAATATTGAAATTGTATTGCATTTGACAGCTGAGTAACAACACATTGTTCAGGTCCAGTACACTCTGCCGATTGAGCTATATAGCTATAAAGACCTATATAGCTATATACACCTATAAATTATAGCTGTATTGAGCTATATTTTCTCAGATTTCAAATTTCATTAAATTAAAGCAAAGTCGCATAAAACAATAAGGTTTATGGTAATGTTGACTACAAAAAGCATACATTTAGATATTTATTTTCATTTTTCATAAATGTAAAATTTCCGATTTTTTTACATCATTATTTTTTAAAAAGAATACCCATATTTAATGTCTTTTGTTATCAACTTAATGATACAATCTTCTTTTAAAAGCGACTTTGTTTCGTTTTCCTTAAAAAAGAAAATCACTTGAAAATNGTTATTTCACTTTATACAGATTAGACACAAATCCTACATTTGAGTAACTGTATTACAGTAACTTTTTTTATTCCTCAAATAGGAAATGAAATTTAAACAAAACAAGTTCTTTTTAACCATTAGGCAGAGAGACATCCAAATTAACGTAAATTTACATTTACAAAAATAAGATTATTCATTTTATCAGATAAACTGGATACATGTGTAAACTGTTAATTAATATTATTTTCAAGAATTTACATTGCTTTGATGCTAGACTACAATAAGAAAAAGAATCGTTTAAAAAAAAACCAAACAGGAATTAGAAAAAGTCTTTTGCATTTTCTGCTTACTTGACAAGATAATAATGTTTATCGTATGCATAATTTGGAAGTCCTCTAAAATCATCTCTTGAAAAAAAAGTAGAGATTTTCTGAATGTGTCTATAAAGAATACTGCATGTACATTTATCAATATATGTGTGGAATATGTTATGTCAAAGTAGATTTTTGTTGTCAGCACCTCATAACTCAGGCCCACACCAGACATCTATCTGTCAAAATGTCCAAGTCTGGTGTCGGGCACCAGAGGAAACTCGGGCTAGTGTTCGCTATTCCATGATCAATGTTGAAAACATTGCTTTACATCTCAAAAGTGTTAGCACACATCTAGGAAGGATTTAAAGAGTTTGCTAGCCCGGTTTACAGAGATGTTTTATCTCTGTAAATCATAATTAGACAGTTCTGAGTGTAAAACGTTACATCTTGGAGACATTTTACCTTGTTATGGGAAATTCTTTATAGAATTTCCTTTAAAACTATATATATAACTTAATGCTAAGTTGAGACTTCTTTCCATAGTTTTACCTAGCAACATGCATCCCTATCATAAATCTGATTCAATATCTTGTAAAGCTTCATCATATCCTGACCTGCCCTTTGGTGCGATAACAAAGGAAGATTGAGTTTCTTCATTCTCTGTGGATTCTAACCTTTTTGTGAAAATCAATAACTTGATTAACTTCATTACTCATTGAGTTATAAAGTGGTGTAAAGTAGCTCTAAATAGAAACATTTTGATATATACATAAATATAGTAGTACAATTAAACTTGAGTTTCTGGAACCAAGATGAGTGCAGAACATCTCTATGGCACAAATAAACGGTCACAAACTCCATAAAAGAATTTGAGCTGCAATAATTAATAGCGAGGAGGAGAATGGGCGTTCTTGTAATGTAAGTCAGAAACTTGCAGTTGCTACCATCTCTTCAGTATTATTGTTGTTTATTGTCAAAAGGGATGATAGCTATTGCTAAACCCACTGACTTACTAAAGATTACCAAATCTCACCAAGAAAATAGGTTTGCATGTCTGTACATTTAAAAGATATGTGGAGGAGTACGTAATGCATCTCATGTTTGGATAATAGACCAAATTTGGATAAAATTATACACTTGTTAGTATAAGATCACTATTTTCATGCATTGTAAACTAAAAATGGCTAGTTAAGCTATATTGTAACCTTAAAAGATGATGAAATCTTCAATTGCTTTTAAGATGACTTGAACAAATCTCGTTGATTTTTGCAGATTAAATATGAATCCTGAAAAGTTAAAGCAGCTGCAACAGCAAGTACGCATAGGAGGAAAGGTATGTTCTAATCAATGCAATTACAGCAATTGTATTTTCTATGGTTAAAAAAAAATGTAAAAAAATGTTGCTCCAAGATTGGTATTTTTTTGTTGTTTATGGATCGGTATGAAATGACTCCACTGTATCTGTCAGTATTTGCATATTCATATGCCGATGATGCTTTCACTTCAGGGTACTGCAAGAAGGAAGAAGAAGGTGGTGCATCGTACAGCAACAACAGATGATAAGAAACTACAAAGCTCATTGAAGAAACTTTCTGTTAGTAACATCCCAGGGATTGAAGAGGTATGATTCATGTTTCTTTGGTTACCAGGGGTGAATTAGGACGGAAATCATTGATGTAAGAACCATTGTAGGAAATTTGAAGAATCATTATAACAACTATCAAATGAATATGTGATACTGTACAGGACTTTTGTCTTTTAATAGCCTATCTTATCTTTATTACATCATGAAAATCACCCACTTTTGTTTGTTTGGGAATGTCTTAAATGGACCTAATTAGTACACTGATAAACCCCTTGCTACTTTGTCTTCTACCAACACAGCAACTTCGGTCCTTTAGATGGTATTAAATTGTAGTCCATATTTGGGGGGGAAATCAAGTGTTGGAGATTGGTGAAATTAGATTCACATTTAGGTCACAATCTAAGGTCACCTCGGGTAAAGTCCCAGTTGACGTTTCGCATTTGTCATAAATTTGTCTACTGATAGACCATTCCCATTTTTTGACTTCTTCCTAAAACCACTGAACCCATTTCAATAAAAAAAAATGCAGGAAGGTTTCATGGCCGTAGGCAAACTAAAAGTATGAATTATATAGATCTAACCCATTCACTTCAGACACAGATATGCTAGATATTTCCAGTGGCCTTAATAATTCAGTAAGTTTATTTGAGACTTGTATAAAAATTAAATGATTTCGTCTAATTTTTCATAAGATTTGTGGCATTTGTTTGCCTATGCAGCATGCTTCTGGCAAATCAGATTTAGATACAAGAGTACTGACACATATATTTTTTATTCAGGACGATGCATAACAGTTTTAGAAATTCAAATTATTGTTAATTTGGAGGATTTCTTGCATTAATTGAAAAGGTTAAATTTTAGATATGTCTAAAAGCAAATATTTATGGCTTTCGTCCTAAAAAATGACTGGAAAGAATGATTGTAATACTTAAAAAACATTCTACTTTTGTTGACACTGGTCGTAGTGGTTTTTCCATAGCAAGGGATTGTATACATCCCACATAAATTATAAATTCTGTCTGTATAATGTCCCCCTTAAACCTGGAGTCTCTATTTCAAACCGCAGCACACACAAAATTGCGATGTTGGTAACTGAAATATTTAGATATATTGTAATGGTGAAAGTAAATGTTCAAGTCCAATATACAACAGGTCTGCTTAAACCTTTTTGGATTTTCAAGTAACGACTGTTTTAGTCAACTAATATCAATCAAACTGATTCTCTCTCACTGGAAGGTACATGGAAATGGCTACACAATGATGATGAGGTAATGTGTATACATTCTTTAAGTTTTGGTACCTTTAGAGTACGATGTTGCAGTACTTTTTTGTCAAGCTGAAAAATTCTGAAGAATCTTAAAACATGAAATCAGCAATGCACAGGATACTGAAGCAAACAAAGTACAGTTGAAATGTTAGTAAACGTGCCGAAAATCTTTTAAACCACATAGCCATGGTCTATTGGTCTGTCGTTACTTTCGCACACTGATTTTGTGCATTGGTCCCAACTTTAAAGAAGTTACAATTAACGTTTACAATGAATGCCTTGTATAAATTAACCTCTGTGTTACTTTCAGGTGAACATGATCAAGGATGATGGTATGGTCATCCATTTCAATAACCCTAAAGTGCAAGCCTCTCTTGCTGCAAACACATTTGCAATCACTGGACAGGCCGAGAACAAACGTAAGTGGACAACTTGATATATTTTCTGAGTTCATGACATTTGGTGCGGCGTCCGTCGTCCGTCCGTCAACTTTTCCTTTAAACAGCTTCATCCTAAGAATGAACAAGCATAGAGCCATGATATTTGACTGAAAGTTTCGTTGGTAGGAGCCCGACAAAGTTTAAGAATCTTCATATTTGTCTGGTGGCTTCCTGGGATAGAGCCCGACAATGTTTGAGAATGAAAATTACCATGACTTGCTTTCAGGGTCACAGCGGTAAAATATGTCAAACTCTTTGAACCACTTCTTCTGAAAAACTAAAAGGTATAGAACCTTCATATTTAGCTTTTGGGTTCCTGAGATAGAGCATGACAAAGTTTGAGAATGAAAATGACCTTGACCCACTTTCAAGGTCACAGGTGTCAAATATGTCAAAAACATCAAACGACTTATGAATAATTGAAAGGCATAAAATTATAATTTTGGCTGGTGGCTTCCTAGGATAGAGCTCGCCAAAGTTTGCAAATGAAAATGACCTCAACCTTCTTTGAAGGTCACAGAGGTCAACATTTCAAAGGATTTGTTCTGAAGAACCAGAAGGAATGGATTCATAAAATTTGGCTGGTAGTTTCTTGGGATAGAGCTAACAAAGTTTGAGAAGGAAAATGACATTGACCTACTTACAAGATCACAGGGGAAAATATGTCAAGCAACTTCTGAAGAAGAACCAAAAAGCATAGAATCTTATTTGACCGGTAGTTTCAAAAGATGGAGCCGACAAAGTTTGCGAGGGAAACATTTGTAGTACAGTATATATAATATTTAATAAGAATGTTTTGCTATGACTGCTTAGATATTTAGGTGAGCGATACAGGCCCTCTGGGCCTCTTATTTTAGTTAAGACTTAACTCATTCACCCCTGAAATTTTATAATGGACTATTCCAACCTTTGAATTGGAAGAGTTCAAATTTGTCTTCAGGGGTGCATGAGATAAAAGAAAAATCATGGTATTTCATAATTTATTAAAATATTAATGAAATTTCTGCATGCCAACAATTCCAAGCTATAAAGAACTATTGTCAGTTTGTATAATATTGATATTTTCTATAAAATACAGAATGGTGCCTATAACTTAAGTGTGTGTGTGATTAATACATTATATTCACTGTCCAACATCTTTTTCCTTGTGTTTACAGAAATTGCTGAGATGCTGCCAGGTATTCTTAATCAACTAGGAGCTGAAAGCTTAAGTAGTCTCAAAAAGCTAGCATCCTCTGTCACGGGTAGTATGTCAGGTAGGTGTCCAAACTGTAGATAAAAGTAGTCTCAGATGGCTAACATCTCCGGCAGAGCTGTGACTTAAATATGAGGCACCAACATGAAATTGTCACAAAAACATAACAATTTTAACTCGCCTGAAGTTTAAAATTAAAATCTAAATAAGCGAACAAGATGTGTCAATGCATTGTATAATTTAGCTCGCATGGTACAAAGTGCCATCCGTCATTTTTAGATGTGAACAAAATATTCTTGAGAACCCAGAGTCCTGGAGCCATAATATTTTCAATGTTGTTGAATGGTAGAAGTGCCAGATCTGATAAATACTTTGGCTGTAACGATACACTGATGTTACAATATCATAATGTTTGATATGATACACTTGTATAATGAAAATGGACAAAAAAGTACTCAATTCATGGCTCAAGAACTGCAAGACCAAGATCTTGAAATTGACCATGTAGCTTGTTTTGGTCAAAGCTGTCTATGGTGTTCAAGTATAAGCCTTGTTCTACATTCAGGTGAACATGGGTCAAATGTGTTAAAATCTTTAAATGACTCGTTCACATGAATGATATTCAGGTATATAGCTTGCAGGGTTATAGGTAATGATGTTACCTCACATTCGTGGCCACAACCTCGCAGTGGTCAAATGTATTGAAATATGGTAGATCTGATCCTGTCATGGCTCTCATTATTGTTTTTGCTGTAACTGTTGGTGTCATTAAGAAATTTGAGTTGGCATTCATGGTAGAAAATAAGTAGATCTCTTGCTTAGTTAAGATAGAAAGGGCAGTCCTGTTTACAACAACGATTTTGCCATAGTTTCTATGTTAATCTAAATGAAATGACATTCTTTACTTTGTAAAGAAGTTTGAAGATGGATGAAGTTGGTGCATATTTGAAAAATAAGGTTACGATCACTTAAACAATCTGATTTGTGGAAGCTTCCCAGACAATGTTAGGTTTGATGGGGCACTATACAGGTATAGGAGCATATCCAAGTAGAGACATTGATGCTACAAATTGTTCTGCAACAAATCATGCTGATGAAAACCATCATTATTTTCATTGATAGAGATATGCAATGTCTAAATAATATAATGCATTGCTCACATCAGATAAGATTAATTACAGCTTTGATTCCATCCTAAGAATCGGTTAAAATTAGATTTGCATATTTTCATTTTTAGCTTTGATCAGAAGAAAAATATGACGGCCAGAAATCAGAAAACTCTGATTGCAGATTATTACTATAATATATATATTGTATTTTATGTTTGGCTTTGTTTACTATTTTAGCAGGCTCTGGCGACAGCAAGCCTGCCACAGAAGACATTGATGACGATGAAGACGGAGTTCCAGGTAAAAACAAGCCTCCAACTGGATATTTTATATACAAGAATTACTCCTGAATGGAGCTGTGTTATGCCTGTTAAAGTTGTACTTCAGTCATTGCTATATGCTGCCCTTTGTACATGTACATAGGTCTGTGGTTATGTTTCAATTGTGTCATTATGCTTTCCACTATTTGCTTTGATGTTGTCAATTTGCAACAAGAAATAATTCCAACTTGGCTGGAATAATTATGATGAAATTGAAGTTAGATGTATCAGAAATTCAGATCGTCAGACCTACCCCAGGTTGGCTAATGAGGAAAATTGGCTAACTGACAAGAGATATTATATTTCACATTCAATAGCAAATAATATAACTCTGGAGACCGTTGTTAAGGCACTTGGATGCCTCTTGTCGTCATTCACTTGTCATAACCAGCCTGTTACTTTAAAAAATTTAGAAGATTTATAAGAAATGTATCTCAAAGATGATATATACTATTTGCCTCCCTTTGTTACTTACAGATCTGGTTGGAAACTTTGATGAGACATCCAAAGGTGAATGAGCTAAAAGATTCAACATTAAATGCATGTTTTCAGACACTACTGGTTTTGTACTATGAAAGCTGTTGGACTTGTGTGAAGATCAAAAGTTACCCTGACCCAGTTTTAACGCTTTATCAACAGACTGACGATAAAAATGAAGACAAGGTCGCAATAGAAAAAATCATCACAAGAAAAGTGATGCTTTTATTACCTGTCGAAGGAAGATTGACAGAATTACGTTATTGTATAATATTTACTAGAGGAAAACATTTTATGGACGCCTTTCATAATAAATCCACTCACTACAGTACTTGGACACCGGACAACAAACAGCTGTTTTTACAAAGATATCTTGACCTATGTCCAAGTATAAATAAAGATTCTTTCTCACAATTTGGTTTTTGTTATGATCAAGGTCAAATAAATCCTACGCTGTGCTCCAAGCCCAGTTCAACTGGGAAAGTGCTTAAAAGGACTTCGAAAATATTCCAATATTTCTGTAATGTGTGGAGATGGCCCTTACCAGAGATGTAATATTACAGAGATTGGCAACTTGCTGTTGACCTTACCATTAGTCACGGTCACCGGATGTCATATCACAAGATACACTTCAACTGCGCCATATTGGATATACGGTTGGCTGCATTCAATAATCCTGTCCTGTTCAAAACATGTTTGTCGTAAGAAAACATCAGAAATAAACATAATATTAAACCCATAGCCAGCGAGATTTACATGCGGTTTTGGAGTGCTACATTGAATGTAAACTTGAATGATTAAGATTACACATTGTGGCTGTGTTTACATATCGCTAATGATTATGGTCTCGTTTTTGTTCTTTAGACAATTTCAAAAAAGTCTGGCGGCTTTGATGTGCGAGGGTTATTTTTCAAGACGCATTAGAACACCAACTCCATTTTAACTCGCGTCACAATTTCAAAAATATCTTCAGATATTAATTGTTTGATATTTCTAACCAGGTTTTTAAAATGAGGTTGTTGGAAAACTTGCAATATTTGATAATTTAGCTCTGAAAATACAGGTTTTTAAGAAGAAACCAAAAAAAACCCCGTGAAAATGGCGTCTTTGATGTGGAGGGTTATTTTTCATGACGCATTAGAACGAACTCCATTTAGTATTTTTTTCTTTCATTACGCATTAAAACACGAACTCCTTTCTAATTCATTATTTAATTTCAAAAACATCTTCAGATATTTATTCAAACAATATTTCTAGCCAGCTTTTCCAAATAAGGTTTTTACACTACTTTGCAAAGTTTGATTGACACCGGCACTCCTTTCTCGTTCATTATTCAATTTTCAAAACGTATTCAGATATTACATATTATTTCTAACCAGAAATTCTTAATATGAGCCGACACGAACTAACGAATACGCCATCGAATTCTCACAGGTAACGCATTGCCCACACTATCGTCACCAGCTAAGATTGATATCATTTTGCTTCGACATGTGCTTTTAGCTATGAAAACAAACACTGGTTCCGCATGATAGCGCAGCCACAACCCAAGTCTCGCAGCGTATCTTATTTCACCGATCATGCGTGTTTTTGCGAGATTAGCTGAGTTGCCAATCTCTGTAATATAGGACGTCTCTGCTCTATCCACTCCGATGAGTAGTGTTTATTTTCCTATAGTAATCAGTAATTTTGACAAGACTTCATCTGTCCATCGATGCTTTAGTTAACTTGATATTTTCGATTCTGATGAAAATGGTAAGCATGAACAATATACAAAGACAAGAACCAAGTTAAAATTCTGCACAATAAATGAAGAAATGTGACTAGATTTGGTCATATATTTACAAATTCTTGCAAAAGCTTCCATTGTATATGTTGCACCATGTTTCCGATCACGTACAGGACTTCCATATACAGGACATATACCATCATTCCAAACTCATTTTTACCGGGTGGTTAAATCCATGAAACTTAATAATCCCGCCAACACATTTAATTATGTTCAAACACACACCCGTTATTATCAGTCCCTGTGCTGATGTGCACTGAATTGACAAAGTACAGTTACTGTACATGGATATGAGCAACTTGAGTAAAGAGCCCCCGCTGTTCTTGTTCCTTTAACAAAGTTCAACACTCAAAAACGTTTTTGATCCACAATCCAGAGTTAGATACAAGAGACCAGAAATTTTATTTAACGTCGCATATTTAAAACAAAAAGAAAACACCACTGTAGTGCTAGGACAAACAGGAAGTATAATACTCGCATGCAGGTAGTTACAAAGGCTAGTTCAATGGCAAGCAAATATCACAGAGGCAATCAATTATATCAGTTTCAAAATGACCGCCTGGAATTAGAAGCACGGAAAAAAATATTTGTAAACAAGATGTTTCTCGAAAATCGCATTTTGAATGTTTACATTACTGATACGATTAGCCAAATCAGTCTTATCCCTGGAAGCTTTGCTGTGAATGTCCCTGCGAAACCATTCGTCCTTACAATCCTGTCGATTGTATTCAAACACTTCATTGCTAGAACGTTTAGCATTCTAGACTTCCTAGCTTCCTTACAGCGGAGTCGGTTAGCATGATATCATCAGCAATACAAGTCAAGTTTACCCATATATACTGATACACGGCTGCGACGACGTTTAATGGATAAGCACCACTCATCACACTTACATTAGAGCCATCCCATAAAGATGAGGTTTCTGGGGTTATGGAAAAAAACTTTCAAACACAATGGAGCCAGCTCGGAAACTCGTTTCAACGTTTCAAATGTTCAATGACTAGTGAAGCAACAATGAAACACTATGAAAATGACGTTTGGACCAGTCTAGAAGAACACTGATTACCAAATATTTGAAAGCTTGCCAGTTGCCAGAAAGAATGGCGTATTGAGGAATATAAAGTGATACAATTATCGTTGAAACCAATAAAGTGATAATGTGCTTATGGCACGGCTCTAGGGCGCCGAACGATGAGATCTGTTACAATGCATCGCCGAACGATGAGATCTGTTACAATACATCGCCGAACGATGAGATCTGTTACAATATCGCCGAACGATGAGATCTGTTACAATACATCGCCGAACGATGAGATCTGTTACAATACATCGTAAAACGGTTCTTCGATGTAGAGAGCAGCACTGATCAGACAAGTGTTCATATGTTTGTTGTACGGTAGGAGTGAATGTGTGTTGAAATAAGTTATAAATTTTGTAAGGCTTTCGAATTCGTAGCTGTCGTCGAATCCACACCGTCCTTGCTCGTTCACCTCAACGATACAGTGCTTCACACCATTGTCACACCTTCAATATAAAAACAACCAGTAAATGCCGAGTTTCGCCAAAAAATGTATCAACAAGTTATTTGGTTAATCAGGATAGCGACGCTCTTATAGTCAATACACATTGTTTAACTTGGAATGTCATCGTTGCGTAACGTATGCAAGGAATTGTGCATACTTTTTAAATCGCCTTAAGGAATTGAACTTTCTCTCAGACGGGCAATGTCGTAATGCATCGAAGGGAGGTACGCGGTGGATACATATGGCGGGTATTTGTACACAAATGGGTCAAAAGCTGTTGGAAACTGCTGCAATACACGTACTATAAGTCTAGTTAGAGATAAGAGTGCGACCACCTAACTTCATTTCAATCGTTTAATGATTGACAAACACGGACCCAATTGAAAATGCGCGCATAGTATGTCATATTAAAGCTTATATACAGAAAATCTCCTTAGAAGTAAAACGTTAACCCAAACAAAAGAGGATGTAATTTTAATTAATTGTAAAAACACATATCAATTAACTCTCGTTTTTTTTTATTGGTATGTCCGACAAAAGTTAGTAACAAAACTGTTCAAAGGCCGTGGCCTAAGCTATCTGCAACTATAGAATGTCAACTTAGTTTACCTAAAAGCCATAATACCGCCTTTTGCTTTATATATGCTTTTTATATCGCCTCACGAACTACATGTATGTTTGTTTCGTAATTATATGACCTACTTGGACTGGCACAGTCCTATTAATTCAACAAAATACAATTGTTTTTTTTTCTATCGCTTTATGAGACTGTACTTACTTAATCGACAGACATTTTCTCAGATTCGGTTTCTTTGGTCTGAGAAGGAAAGTACCGGTCTCTGCGTCGGATAAAATCCTGACAGCTTCATCCCTATCGTCATCTAAATACCAGGAACGCTTATTCAGTAAAGGATTCCTGTAAATACCAACGATCAAAAGCATGTAGTTGACTCACATCACTATAATAAAATAAAAACATACCCTGTATCGCTAAGCGCATTTCACAAAGGAGCAGAGAAAATAAGATTTTATTTTATTTTTGCATTCACAAATTTCCTTCTCGTGATAATATGAATTGCCATACACACGACTTTAACTGGGAATGTGTATTTAGGAGAAGGGATGCCCGAACTGAAAGCACATAATTTTGTTTTAAAAATTCTAAAAAGCGCACTGATGGTATATATACTATATAGACATGCTTTGAGTTTGGGATTCCGAAATTGGGTGCCAAACAAATCGAACAAAAACATTACAAACACAACAACAGTCAATTGTGTAGATTGGAAATCCGGAATTGCTGTAAATCATGACTTACACCGCACATTTTTAGCTGAGCTTATGCCATGGCGCTACGTCCGTCGTCCGTCCGTCAACTTTTTACATGTCACAATTATCTCCATGTTTACTAGACGACCTAATCTCGTTTTTCTAAATGTTGTACTGATACGTGTATGAATCTTGGCGCCATTAGCGCTTTTGTTTAGTGTCGCGGAGCAGACGAAAGACTCCTAGTCATTACTCACTCCTACATAATAAAATGTCTCAAATAAACATATATTCAATAGATATTTCGAGCCTTACTTCAAATAATGTTTTATCTTGTAGTCTTATTAATGAAGGGAATGTCAGTTGGTGTTACGTTGTGTTATTTCACATATATACATTAAGTAATTCTGTTTGTTATATAATACTTTATCTATCTCTAAAAGTGAATTATCTCATATCATAATCTCTTATTCGAGTTATAAAAACACTCGTATAAAGTGACGTATACACATATTTAGTATAAGGATATAATGGCATCATAAATAAAATCAGATCTGGCAATGCTCTTACGCGATAATTTCTGCTATTTTTTCCTGAAGTTCACGCGACTGGTCATGTTTTGTGAGGTCCTTCGACGCTTTGGTGCGACGCTTCTTTAACTTGGTGACAATGGGTTTTAACTCGTCTAGGTCGGCCTGGTAGGACCACACTACTGCCCCCGTCCTCCGGACCTCCTGGTCCAGATTCTCCATCTCCGCGCGAAGTTCTGATATCCTCTCATTGAGCATCGAGTAATTCGCGTGTAGTCTGCAACGAAGTGGGTGCTAATGTTACTATCGAACTATATGCATGCACGTGCATAACCATCATTTCATAGTCAGTAAATCTCGATTGATAACTCATCCATATAGTTAACGTATTTTCTGTGTTTGGTCACAGAGCTAAAACAGGGTCATCAATAATATAAGACTCTTTCATGTCCAGGGGTCTGGCCGCCGTTTTGAAAATATCAATCCACCCTGAGCTTTTTAGACGAAAACGAATTAGCCAGCCAGATTTAGCATATCTCATATTTGCAAACGACGTTTGCGCAAACAATTAATCACATCTTTCTAACGTGTACGGTAAATATAAAGAAAAGGTTTTAATTTCATCACGTCTCCTTTTCCGCATTGCGGCACCGGAGAGTTCCAAATTTGTGACGTCACGTCATTGTTGAGCTATCGTCACGTGAAATGGGGTGTAAGATTAATAGAATCTATCGCTACTGGTTGTGTAAGATAGAGAAATCTCAACCCTCGGGCTAAGATTTTTTGTCCAGAACTCGGCAAGCCGCGTTCTGGACAAAAAATCTTAGTCCGAGGGTTGAGAATCTCTAGCTTACACAACCAGGAGCGATTGATTATTTTTCTCCCATATGTAACAGTATTTCAATGTGAAATAAAGGTAAACATTGACCCAAAACACATACAGGCAATTTGTTGATGGATTGTTGACGTGACGTCATTGTATTGTTGAAGTGACGTCATGCCATTGTTATGAATAGGGGAATCCCCTCGTAACCCTAGGGCGGAGACACATAAATCTAGCACCGGCAAAACGGGAGATAAATCTGTCAGGTGTGGGAGAAAGAAATTTCCTACACCCCTTTCTTAACCTGGACAGCTCTATCTTACACACAGGGAAATGAGAGAATATAAGACAGCTGTGTCTCACAACCAAAAAAATTATATAATTATTGTTCAATCGCAACAATTGGTGTATGTATTCTTTAATTGGATTTTTTAAAGTCTGGCGTTTAGTTTTGTAAAGAAAATCCTCGTTGACTCTTTATTTGCTATATACGGTAATGTTTTCGAAACCTGAATTTGCTGAACTTACTTTGTGATGTCGTCGACCGGAGCTTTGCGGACACATTCCTGTAGAAGGTCGAGCTGTTCCTGGTACACCTCTGTGCTAGCCTTGTACACAGCCATGCAATGTTGTTTGTTCTGGAGAATGTTCAGCTGATCCGAGTGTCTTTGCAACAGTAAGTAATACTCGTACATCTGGTCCATGTACTCCACATGTAAAGCTTCAAAGTCCGACAACGACAACCCGTCAAACGTCTGCAGCAAAGGTAAATGTGAAACTGTTAAACAAGTATAAACGTCAAACCATTAAATATCTATAAATATCAACGTCAAACTATCAAACAGCTACGAGTATAAACGTNAGTATAAACGTCAAACAATCAAACAGCTACAAGTATAAACGTCAAATAATCAAACAGCTTCAAGTATAAACGTCAAACAATCAAACAGCTACAAGTATAAACGTCAAATAATCAAACAGCTACAAGTATAAACGTCAAACGATCAAACAGGTACGAGTATAAACGTCAAACAATCAAACAGCTAAAAGTATAAACGTCAAACGATCAAACAGCTACAAGCATAAACGTCAAACGATCAAACAGCTACAAGTATAAACGTCAAATAATCAAACAGCTTCAAGTATAAACGTCAAACAATCAAACAGCTAAAAGTATAAACGTCAAACTATCAAACAGCTACGAGTATAAACGTCGAATAAATAAACACAAACATGTGTAACTTGTCCAACCATTTAACATATACAGGTAAATATTCTACCCAACAAATATCTACATGTAAAAACGTCAACACAATTAATGTTTACATGTATAAATGTCAACTCACCAAATATCTACAGGTAAAAACGTCAACCCATCAAATATCTACAGGTAAAAACGTCAACCCACCAAATATCTACAGGTAAAAACGTCATCCCAACAAATATCTATATGTAAAATACTCAACCCAACAAATATCTATATGTAAAATATTCAATCCAACAAACATTTACAGACAAGTATAAACGTCAAACCATCAAACAGCTACAAGTATAAACGTCAAACTATCAAACAGCTAAAAGTATAAACGTCAAACTATCAAACAGCTACGAGTATAAACGTCGAATAAATAAACACAAACATGTGTAACTTGTCCAACCATTTAACATATACAGGTAAAATATTCTACCCAACAAATATCTACATGTAAAAACACAATTAATGTTTACATGTATAATTGTCAACTCACCAAATATCTACAGGTAAAAACGTCAACCCATCAAATATCTACAGGTAAAAACGTCAACCCACCAAATATCTACAGGTAAAAACGTCAACCCATCAAATATCTACAGGTAAAAACGTCAACCCACCAAATATCTACAGGTAAAAACGTCATCCCAACAAATATCTATATGTAAAATACTCAACCCAACAAATATCTATATGTAAAATATTCAATCCAACAAACATTTACAGACAAGTATAAACGTCAAACCATCAAACAGCTACAAGTATAAACGTCAAACAAACAAACAGCTAAAAGTATAAACGTCAAACTATCAAACAGCTACAAGAATAAACGTCAAACTATCAAACAGCTACAAGAATAAACGTCAAACTATCAAACAGCTACAAGTATAAACGTCAAACAATCAAACAGCTAAAAGTATAAACGTCAAACTATCAAACAGCTACAAGTATAAACGTCGAATAAATAAACACAAACATGTGTAACTTGTCCAACCATTTAACATATACAGGTAAATATTCTACCCAACAAATATCTACATGTAAAAACACAATTAATGTTTACATGTATAAATGTCAACTCACCAAATATCTACAGGTAAAAACGTCAACCCATCAAATATCTACAGGTAAAAACGTCAACCCAACAAATATCTACAGGTATAAACGTCAACCCAACAAATATCTACAGGTAAAAATGTCAACCCAACAAATATCTACAGGTAAAAACGTCAACCCACCAAATATCTACAGGTAAAAACGTCATCCCAACAAATATCTATATGTAAAATACTCAACCCAACAAATATCTATATGTAAAATATTCAATCCAACAAACATTTACAGGTAAAATAATCAACCCAACAAACAGCTCCAAGTGTAAATTATCAGCCCAACAAATATCTACAGGTATAAACGTCAACCCAACAAATATCTTCAGGTATAAACGTCAACCCACCAAATATCTACAGGTAAAAACGTCAACCCAACAAATATATACAGGTATAAACGTCAACCCAACAAATATCTACAGGTAAAAACGTCAACCCACCAAATATCTACAGGTAAAAACGTCAACTCACCAAATATCTACAGCTAAAAACGTCAACCCAACAATATATACAGGTATAAACGTCAACCCAACAAATATCTTCAGGTATAAACGTCAACCCACCAAATATCTACAGGTAAAAACGTCAACCCAACAAATATATACAGGTATAAACGTCAACCCAACAAATATCTACAGGTAAAAACGTCAACCCAACAAATATCTACAGGTAAAAACGTCAACTCACCAAATATCTACAGCTAAAAACGTCAACCCAACAATATATACAGGTATAAACGTCAACCCACCAAATATCTACAGGTAAAAACGTCATCCCAACAAATATCTATATGTAAAATACTCAACCCAACACATATCTATATGTAAAATATTCAACCCAACAAACATTTACAGGTAAAATATTCAACCCAACAAACATTTACAGGTAAAATATTCAATCCAACAAACATTTACAGGTAAAATAATCAACCCAACAAACAGCTCCAAGTGTAAACGTCAAACTAACATGTACCCAAAGGTAAAAACATTAAACCAACAAACATCCAGAACAGTCACATTGAAATTTCATTTGACGTCAGGCTGTCAGTCTCAAATAAGAAACAGTATCAAGTCATAAACGTTTTACAAGTAAATGATTGTACAAAGAGGAGCCAATGTCAGACCATTAAATGATTGTACAAAAAGAAGCCAATGTCAGACCATTAAATGATTGTACAAAGAGAAGCCAATGCCAGACCATTAAATGATTGTACAAAGAGAAGCCAATATCAGACCATTAAATGATTGTACAAAGAGAAGCCAATATCAGACCATCAAATGATTGTACAAAGAGAAGCCAATGTCAGACCATTAAATGATTGTACAAAGAGAAGCCAATATCAGACCATTAAATGATTGTACAAAGAGAAGCCATTGTCAGACCATTAAAAAATGCCTGCAATTGGGCATCACTGAAAACATCAGACTTCTTAACCAAACCCACAACCGTCTACAGCAACAGAAAACATCAGACTTCTTAACCAAACCCACAACCGTCTACAGCAACAGAAAACATCAAAATTCTATTATAAATAGCTTATTTTAGCACTCGAATGTATGCAGGAACCAGCAAGCCATGGAATATGAGGGGAAAATACTGGCTGACTGGCAGAACTGGCTTAGTCGCGCTCACTAGTGTTAGATTGGTGCGCGCTCGCACGTTACAATATGTGCACAATTAAATATCTATAAAAGACATGCATTGCAAAAAATCTTCCGGTTATAACTTAAATGTGTCATAGTTTTTGTTTCTTATTTTAGATAATAGTTTTTTTTTATTCAAACTGATGTTTTTGCAAACGGGATATGGACATGCAGTGTGTAGGTCCCATCGTACACACAGCAAACCAAACGTAATCGTAATGTTGATATGTTGAACTTCCTAAATATCTCGACTTACGTTGGATAAGCTCCTATTGACAGGGTGAGACAAGGTTATGTCAAGGGAAGCGTTAAGGTGATCCAGCGAGTTTTCTCTGTAAAACTCCACTAGGGACATCACCGTCAAGAAACTCTCCCCCTGAATTATGCTGTAACCTCCAGCGGCTGCCTTATATATCTTCATCAGTTTGTTGGCCCCTCCCTTCCGAAGGGTCAGTGTGTATTCACCCGTGGAGTTGACGGAATCCCGAACGAGGTACGACCCGTCACACCGGTCCCTCATCAAGTCTTTCACCTCCTCCCGGGATATGTTTCCCCAGTACCACAGTTGGTCCCCAAGGGTCGTGCGGGGAGGGCGCACTGGAGCGCTGCCAGAACCCTCCATCATTACGTGCAGTGCCCTCGCATTCAGAAGACTGTACATAAAATACAAATTAAATCATTGTGCAAGGAAACACCACTATTGTGTACAAAGCTTCATTCCATGATTTATTTTACAAACTACTGAAGCAAAAGGTAAATTCTGAACAGCTTGCTTTCTACTTCAGGTACTGTGGTAACGATACGATAGGTATCACGATACTTTGGTCACGATACGATAATTATCACGATACTGTGATCACGATACTATACGTATCACGATACTGTGGTCATGATACGATAATTGATTACGATACGATACGTATCACGATACTGTGGTCATAACACGATAATTATCACGATACGATAATTATTACATTACTGTGATCACGATACGATACGTATCACGATACATGTAGTAGCAGTAGCAGCAAAGCGAAAAGAGTTAGCAAATTTTAAATGGCAATATTACAACAGGAAATATATTTGGTCCAAAATGGGCCTGATTTAAAAAGTTTCACACAAATCACGTCTTTCGAAGTGCATGTCGAGCTGGAGCCGTCACTCGCCATGTGGGAACGACGGATATGAGTAGACTGAATTCAGGAATTACAAAATCTAGAAACACCGACATCGTTGCAGTCCTGTCATGTACATCCATATAATTTGCTTAGCTGCTAAAGTAACCGCCTCGAATGTTACGATGCTAGTATAAAAAGTTAAGAAAAATGAACTTAACACCATTAATACAGTAAATGAAGCATTAATGTTTTTTACACACACTAATTTGTCAGTCGTCTGATGACGTCATTGATGTTTTTTTTAACACACACTGTATTTTGTCAGTCGTCTGATGACGTCATTAATGGTTTTCTATATACATTGTATTTTGTCAGTCGTCTGATGACGTCATTAATGGTTTTCTATACACACACTGTAATTTGTCAGTCGTCTGATGTTAAAACAATGTCTGGTGAGAAATAGTGCACATATTGCCTTGTTCTCGTCCCGGCTCTCTTGTTCTTTTTATAAAGGGATAGTTTACACTCAGTGACCGTTCGTTTTTACCTGGCGTTACTTATTCAAGGTGATGTCTGGGATCGCAGAGCCAGTAATTCAAGCACAATAATTGTAGGTCCCGGAGACAAATTTTAATGAAATCATCCGCGTTACGACTTGTCTAGGGGTTGTTATTTACCTTATACATTACACATGCCGCTTGTTTATTATAGAACTTGGTTAAATATTAAAAATAATTCAGTTTTGGCTGAATGTTTTCTATAAATGGGCCGTGACATGTTATCATGTAGTGAAGCGGGCGTAAAACCATATATGACACCGATTTCAGGTTCAGTCGAGTGTGATTCGTTGTCTGTGCATTGATTCTAACTATTTTGCAGCCGTGACCTTGTAATCTTTCTAACCAGAGGTTTAAAATCTGTAAAATTAAGTTTAAAAGGAACAGGCGGTAGTGATCGGCGCGATTTGCCTGTTCATTACCCGGTATTCCCACATATCCGGGAGCCAAGCATAATACAATGCCATATTAAAGGTGTACTACGGTTGCTATTTTTCTGGTTGTAATGTAAGATATTGTAGTCTCGAAAAGGATGACGATGGGCGTCCGATTCAGCCTGAGACCCACTGAACAGTAATAGATCAACCTCAGGCGAAATAAAAAGGAGAAAATATCAATGTCGAAAATGATAACATTGTATTTATTTTAATCTGAGGAAAACGCAGTTTGGTTTATTTCGATATTTTTTTTATCAATAATTTACCTTGAATACGAGTAATTGTTTTGATTGCGTGCTTGTGATTTTGCGTCCTATTAACAGTTATGGTAATTTAAAAACGAACCAGGTTTTGGTGGTGGAGGAAAACCGGGGTACCTGGAGAAAAACCACCGACCTGAGACAAGTACCTGGCGACTGTCCCACAAAGGTCTCGAACCGACGACTCAGTGGTGGAGGGCTAGTGATCATTTTAGCAATGCTATGTGAAAATTAATCCCTGCGAACTTGTTTTGGTCGGGCCCAGCCCCACTGCAAAATATCCCCCCCGCGAAATTAAACTGTAACGCTCAGGAATGTAGTTTGTTCACTGCATCGCGGGTAAGATTTGGATCGTCTCAGATTTTACGAAATTGACAAAAATATGCAGACTCACCGTCGTGGACTTCGAATGTCTCCATCGGCCCAGAGGCATATTTGAAAAACATGGTTAATTTATACCCTAAATTCTCGTTTTACAGTATGCATTAAGTTTATTTTGAGAATTTGATTTAATTAACCTTCCGGTCAACATATTAGTGTACATGAATTCGAGGCCCAAACAGGACAAGAGTCATATTTTTTTCTGCCCTCGTAATTTGTATTTCAGTGTTGTGTATCAAATAAAAAAAAGTACACACTTAGTATGTTAAGTATATCAAAAACTCGTCAAGGATGCCGAGTTGCGAACGCATGCATTTTTGAACGATTTCTAACCCGAAAATCGTTGCATAACACAACATATAGCTACAGGGGTGGCCTACATTTCAGCCTGTATCTGATGTTATCAGATTCTGATAAGCAAAACATTAGATCTTTTTAAAATATTTATGACAATATACACATATGTTATCTACACGGCTGATAGGAGAGCGACGACAGGGTCACACACATCAAGGAAGTACACTGCGGAAACCGTACGACATAATTGCTAATGGGTGACACATGTCGCTCAAACTTAACAGGTACAACCGTGTTTATTAAGTTAAAACCTATATATATATACTGTTCACCGCCCGACAACGCGTCCCTACACGTTGTCACCCCCCCCCTCCCGCCCCCTCCTCACAATTAAAACCCGTTACACATATATATATATTTGACGTCGACATAAAACGTCTCTCAATAGCGAACACAATTGAATGCCGGAGAACACTGATCTGGTTATGTCACTAAAGCGAACAAGACTTAGTCCTAATAGTTAACTCTAGTATACAATTAACTATAACGGGCTCTTGTGTTCGGAGCTTTGACAAGAGTACAGCAACATACACACCAAAGTATTAAAACCCGCTTCAATGTATATGAGACGAATTAATAATTGTTGAACTGTTAAACGTAGAACGATGATTAAAATGTAACTTACCCTTGGGTTACCAGTCTTTAATGTTAAGCGTTACTGACGCGCCTCTCGCGGACGTGACGTACCTACACGAGGAAGTAACATGTTTATGTATATTCACATCCTTATCAAATATTTGTATCCTTTCCTTGTTTGTTCCCCAGCTTGTCCGTGATAAAACTGGCCGTGCACGATACAATACTTATATGTAAACATATACTTGTTTTAACATCCTTGTTGTCATATTTCGATATACGAGCGATTATAGATAGAGTAGTTTGCAAGGGTACCCAAACACTATCTCTTGTATCTTTTCTTTTTTTGGCAACTCCCTTCAGCTTCAATAAATGTCCATATGACCATTTCCTTCCGCTCTATAATAAACATTCTAGCATGTCTTATGACCCCTCCCTCCCGGATCTTATGACCAACCCTCCAGTTTTTACGACCCCTCCCTCCTTATCTTATGACCCCTTCCCCCTCCCGGATCTTATGACCCACCCTCCAGTTTTTACGACCCCTCCCTCCTGGTCTTATGCCCCCCTCCTGGATCTTATGACCCCTCCCTCCCGGATCTTATGACCCCTCCCTCCCGGATCTTATGACCCACCCTCCAGTTTTTCCGACCCCTCCCTCCTTATCTTATGACCCCTCCAACCAGGTCTTATGACCCCGCCCTCACGGGCCTTATGCCCCCGTCCTCCCAGGTATCATGATCCCTCCCTCCCTACCGGGCCTTCTGACCCCGTCCTCCCCGGTATTATGATCCCTCCCTCCAGGTGTTATGACCCCTCCCTTCCGGACTTATGACCCCTCCCCCCCGGATCTTATGACCCACCCTCCAGATTTTACGACCCCTCCCCCCTGGTCTTATGCCCCCCCCCTCCCGGATCTTATGAACCACCCTCCAGTTTTTCCGACCCCTCCCTCCTGGACTTATGCCCCCCTCCTCGATCTTATGAACCCTCCCTACCTACCGGGTCTTATGAACCCTCCCTACCTACCGGGTCTTATGACCCCGCCCTCCCAGGTATTGTGAACTCTCCCTCCAGATCTTATGACCTCTCCCCCCAGGTCTTATGACCTCGCCCTCCAGGTCTTATGGCCTCTCCCTCCAGGTCCTATGACCCCTCCCCCCCGGATCTTATGACCCCCCCCCCCAGGTCTTATGACCGCTCCCTCCAGGTCTTGTGACCCCTCCCTCCACGTCTTATGACCTCTCTCTCCACGTCTTATGACGCCTCCCTCCAGGTCTAACAACCCCTGCCTACCTACCGGGTCTTATGAACCCTCCCTACCTACCGGGACTTATGACCCCTCCCCCCCGGATCTTATGACCCCTTCCCCCTCCCGGAACTTATGACCCACCCTCCAGATTTTACGACCCCTCCCCCCTGGTCTTATGCCCCCCTCCTCGATCTTATGAACCCTCCCTACCTACCGGGACTTATGACCCCTCCCGCCCTACCGGGCCTTATGAACCCGTCCTCCCAGGTATTATGACCCCTCCCTACCTACCGGGGCTTATGACCCCGTCCTCCCCGGTATTATGATCCCTCCCTCCCTACCGTGCCTTATGACCCCGTCCTCCCCGGTATTATGATCCCTCCCTCCCTACCAGGTCTTATGACCGCTCCCTCCAGGTCTGATGGCCCCGCCCTCCAGGGCTTATGACCCATCCCTCCAGGTCTTAGGACCTCTCCCTCCAAGTCTTATGACCCCTCCAACCAGGTCTTATGACCGCTCCCTCCAGGTCTTGTGACCCCTCCCTCCAGCTCTTATGCCTTCTCCCTCCAGGTAGTATAACCTCTCCCGCCGCTTCTTATGACCTCTCCATCCAGGTCTTATGACAACTCCCTCCCTACCGGGCCTTATGACCCCGTCCTCCCAGGTATTATGATCCCTCCCTCCAGGTCTAACGACCCCTCCCTACCTACCGGGTCTTATGACCCCTCCCTACCTACCGGGTCTTATGACCCCTCCCTCACGGGCCTTATGACCCCTCCCTCCAGGTCTAATGACCCATCCCTCCTGGGTCTTATGACCCCTCCCTCCAGGTCTTATGACCCATCCCCCCTCAGATCTTACGACCCCTCCCTCCAGGACTTATGACCCCTCCCTCCAGGTCTTATGACCATACTCCTCAGTTCTTATGATAAATTTATGGGCCAATGCCTTTAACAACAAATCTCTTATTTTAATTCTACACTAAAATGACAAACATATACAAATATTTGGTTAAAGATAATTTTATTAACTGCACTTTCAAAACAACTACTTCCTAACAAAAATTTGTTTACTTTTAACTTAAGAGACAAACTTGATCGAAACTACAATCATCCATCTCCATTATAAACATAAAATTGCTAAAACATCCATTCAATCACAAATAACCCTTGTTAGGGACACAGGTACCATTCATACAAGTCACACATAACCTCAGTTAGGGACACAGGTAACATACATACAAGTCACACATAATCTCAGGTAGACACAGGTAACATACATACAAGTCACACATAACCTCAGTTAGGGACACAGGTAACATACATACAAGTCACACATAACCTCAGGTAGACACAGGTAACATACATACAAGTCACACATAACCCCAGTTAGGGACACAGGTAACATACATACAAGTCACACATAACCTCAGGTAGACACAGGTAACATACATACAAGTCACACATAACCTCAGTTAGGGACACAGGTAACATACATACAAGTCACACATAACCCCAGTTAGGGACACAGGTAACATACATACAAGTCACACATAACCTCAGGTAGACACAGGTAACATACATACAAGTCACACATAACCTCAGTTAGGGACACAGGTAACATACATACAAGTCACACATAACCCCAGTTAGGGACACAGGTAACATACATACAAGTCACACATAACCTCAGGTAGACACAGGTAACATACATACAAGTCACACATAACCTCAGTTAGGGACACAGGTAACATACATACAAGTCACACATAACCCCAGTTAGGGACACAGGTAACATACAAACAAGTCACACATAACCCCAGTTAGGGACACAGGTAACATACATACAACTCACACATAATCTCAGGTAGACACAGGAAACATACATACAAGTCACACATAACCTCAGTTAGAGACACAGGTAACATACAAACAAGTCACACATAACCTCAGTTAGACACAAGTAACATACATACAAGTCACACATAACCCCAGTTGGGGACACAGGTAACATACATACAAGTCACACATAACCCAAGTTAGGGACACAGGTAACATACAAAAAGTCACACATAACCCCAGTTAGGGACACAGGTAACATACAAACAAGTCACACATAACCCCAGTTAGGGACACAGGTAACATACATACAAGTCACACATAATCTCAGGTAGACACAGGTAACATGAATACAAGTCACACATAACCCCAGTTAGGGACACAGGTAACATACAAACAAGTCACACATAACCTCAGTTAGGGACACAGGTAACATATATACAAGTCACACATAACCCCAGTTAGGGACACAGGTAACACACAAACAAGTCACACATAACCTCAGGTAGACACACGCACAGGTAACATACATACAAGTCACACATAACCTCAGTTAGAGACACAGGTAACATACAAACAAGTCACACATAACCCCAGTTGGGGACACAGGTAACATACATACAAGTCACACATAACCCCAGTTAGGGACACAGGAAACATACATACACATCACACATAACCCCAGTTAGGGACGCAGGTAACAAACAAACAAACAAGTCACACATAACCACAGGTAGACACAAGTAACTTACAAACAAGTCACACATAACCTCAGGTAGACACAGGTAACACACATACAAGTCACACATAACCTCAGTTAGGGACACAGGTAACATACATACAAGTCACACATAACCCCAGTTAGGGACACAGGTAACACACAAACAAGTCACACATAACCTCAGGTAGACACAAGTAACATACATACAAGTCACACCTAACCCCAGTTAGGAACACAGGTAACATACATACAAGTCACACATAAACCCAGTAAGGGACACAGGTAACATACACACAAGTAAGACATAACCTCAGGTAGACACAGGTACCGAACATACAAGTCACACATAACCCCAGTTAGGGACACAGGTAACATACATACACGTCACACATAATCTGAGGTAGACACAGGTAACATTCATACAAGTCACACATAACCTCAGTTAGGGACACAGGAAACATACATACACGTCACACATAACCCCAGTTAGGGACACAGGTAACATACATACAAGTCACACATAACCCCAGTAAGGGACACAGGTAACATACACACAAGTAACACATAACCTCAGGTAGACACAGGTACCATACATACAAGTCACACATAACCTCAGGTAGACACAGGTAACATAAATAAAAGTCACACATGACCTTGGTAGACACAGGTACCATACATACAAGTCACACATAACCTCAGGTAGACACAGGTACCAAACATACAAGTCACACATAACCTCAGGTAGACACATGCCACATACATACAAGTCACACATAACCTCAGGTAGACACAGGTAACATTCAAACAAGTCACACATAACCTCTGATAAACACAGGTAACACTCATACAAGTCACACATAACCTCAGGTAGACATAGGTAACATAAAAACAAGTCACACATAACCTCGAATAACACAGGTAACACACATACAAGTCACACATAACCTCAGGTAGACACACGCCACATAAACACAAGTTCCACATTACCCTCAGTTAGGGAGATACAAACATATCCAAGGACAGAAATAGAAAGAAGAAAAAAGTGAGGAAAAAACATGTGTCAATACCATTTTACTAGTGTGCTAAAGCAAGTTAATAGTTACAGGATCAAAACAGATAATACAAAGCATCACCTCTACAACAAGTACACATCTAAAATTAAACCATCTCTATGAACATTTCCTTCACAAAATCAACTTGGAAATAATGATTGCCCAGATGTAAATTGGACATTTGAAACATCTTCAGCTTACTTATTTTTGCTTTGGTCTGTATCTATACAGTATGTATAAATCTCAGTCTAAGTTACATGTCTGTAACTATACAGTATGTATAAATCTCAGTCTAAGTTACATGTCTGTAACTATACAGCACGTATACATCTCAGTTTAAGTTACATATCTGTATCTATACAGTATGTATAAATCTCAGTCTAAGTTACATGACTGTAACTATATACACAGTATGGACACATTTCACACTAACTTGTATATCTAGCTAACACTTACTGATACTAGGTATACTTTATTTAACAGTATTTAACCAACAGCAAATCCAGTAAGTCATTGTTTGTACACAGTTGTATGTACAATTTCCTATACTTCAAAATTTTCTATAATAGTATCCACCCCTTACATATAGAATCCCAGTGTACACGCCCAATACGTTAGGTACACCTGGATAAGATTGGGAAAGCCATACCAGGTAGTAAGTCTTTTTATCACATACCTGTTGAATCTTGGTAGAGTAATACAAGCAATTTTCAGACCATGAAATACAACGTTCTGTATTGCACATGTACAATACGGAATGTTGTATTTACCTAATAGCCAGAACTACCTTTTTATGGGAATCCCCTTGTCATGGCGAACTGAAAAGTTCCTGGTATTTGCAAAATATATCAAAGTTTATGAAATCTTCGTATCGATCTCTACCAAATACGGAAGGTATGTAAAAGCAAGACCACACACTTGTGTTTTTCTAACGAATCAGAAAGCATGAGTTTATTGCAGACGTACATATTCACTCATGCGCAGAAAGCGTGTGGTCTTGCATATATATATATTCAACAATCCTACAATGACATTGACATATAAAAATTATTTTACATAACAATTGCTGTTTCTTCTGTCATAGTACGTCTGTATCTGTGTACAATTGAGTACTGTATATCAACTCCAACAACCCAGGTGGAGTATGCAATGGTCTGGGGATGGATGTTGCGGTATCTGTGCTGAAGCGTTCAAGTGAGATGGCACTATAAATGTTACCGTTGGAAGCACAGTCCCACTAAAAACAGAACACAATACATCTCCAGCACACACGCAGGCATACACACATATGGAGATATTAGCCAGGTGGCATAGGACTAGTAGTAAGCGCCTGATAAGGCAGCTCCATGAATTCCTCAAAACTGTATACCGTTGTATTAAGTGATTAATGTTTATGCTAATTGTATTGATTGTATAAATTGTATATGTACTGTAAAGCGCTTTTAGAGTGGCTTATTTTAGCTAGATAGGGCGCTATATCAAATGTTGTATAGATTATATTATATTTAATCTGTTATATATTTCTCTCATTTCTTGTATTTAAGGATCCCTGTTCCACTGCACTGTAGTTTTTTCCTTCAGTTTACATATAACTGTAGCATATTTAGGCCAGGACACTTCCGTTGATCAGATTGGTTTGAGTGATAGTATACCAGTCTGAAGTCTGGGGTTCAAATCCCGGTTTAGCCCCACTCAAATTTTTCACACTCAGAACACTCTCAATGTTATTTTGTTTCGTTCATTTTCAATAGGTTTCACAAAAATCCTGCAAGGTATGCTTTACTTTTCAGAAATGATTTATATAAAGACTATAATCATACTTCGTTATTTCTTTGTTACATTGTTTTTGCGTTGGTATGAGGATCCTTAACTATCCTTGTAACAGCTTACATCATATGGAGACTGGCCACAGTCGATTGGGCCACTCACAGGCCAACCACACACATGTAATGGAAAAACTGTCGCACAATATCACATAAACATTGAGGCCTTCATTGACCGATGATGGAAAGTGAGCCACTGGCAAAGTTTACATTACCAGTTTCACGGTTCATTTACTTTTCGATGGGATATTTAGTCCTTGGTTAATAATGCATGCGCAGGCTGGACACAAAGTGTTGATGTCATGGTTGACATTAAACAAATGTCGTGGCAGACGTTAAACTAATGTCATGGCAGACGTTAAACAAATGTCATGGCAGATGTTTAACAAATGTCATGGCAGGTGTTTAACAAATGTCATGGCAGACGTTAAATAAATGTCATGGCAGACGTTAAACAAATGTCATGGCAGACGTTAAACAAATATCATGGCAGACGTTAAACAAATGTCATGGCAGATGTTAAACAAATATCTTGGCAGACATTAAACAAATGTCATGGCAGAAGTTAAACAAATGTCATGGCAGACGTTAAACAAATTTCATGGCAGATGTTTAACAAATGTCATGGCAGGGGTTTAACAAATGTCATGGCAGACGTTAAATAAATGTCATGTCAGACGTTAAACAAATGTCATGGCAGACGTAAAACAAATGTCATGGCAGATGTTTAACAAATGTCCTGGCCGACATTAAACAACTGTCATGGCAGACATTAAACAAATGTCATGGCAGATGTTTAACAAATGTCATGGCAGACGTTAAACAAATGTCATGGCAGATGTTAAACAAATGTCTTGGCAGACATTAAACAAATGTCATGGCAGACGTTGAACAAATGTCATGGCAGACGTTAAACAAATGTCATGGCAGACGTTAAACAAATGTCATGGCAGATGTTTAACAAATGTCATGGCAGACGTTTAACAAATGTCATGGCAGATTTTTAAAAATGTCATGGCAGACATTTAACAAATGTCAAGGCAGACGTTAAACAAATGTCATGGCAGACATTAAACAAATGTCATGGCAGATGTTTAACAAATGTCATGGCAGACGTTAAACAAATGTCATGGCAGACGTTAAACAAATGTCATGGCAGACGTTAAACAAATGTCATGGCAGACGTTAAACAAATGTCATGCTGAAGCACAGGAGTCCTTAGTTTGTGAAGAGATCACAAAATAATAATTTAGATTGACTTTGGTATAAAATTACCAGATAATATCAAAACACTTTCATGTTACAAGTCCGCTGTATGGAAAAATGTATATACAATATCATACCGACCTAGACTCCTTTTACAAAATAACTAGATACACATTTCATCCTAGAGTAAGGATGTAATACACACATGAAACATGGTACAGTTTAACTGTTGCAAATTGTAAATTTTGAGCTGGTAACGCAATACATGGACCTGTCATTTCATTAAGGTGCTGTCAACCACAGCTACCTCTGTTACTAATAGAGCACTAAGAATTGTCACTGTGTTAAATGGTCCCCCTTCACCAGTAGAATGAGTTGGTGAGGAAGCTGGCAGCTGTACTGAGCCAGCCAGAAGATTTGTTGTCACCGTCGTTCCCCACACGAGCCAAAGTCTTTCCATTGTGAACGGGGCTGTCCACTTCGTCAGGTAGATAGTCTGGCAAGGTTGTATTCTCCTTGTCCATTTCCTGATGATTCGACCCAAATGACAGCAACATCTTTGAATAATAACACAACACTTATAACCTCAGCATAATAGAATCTTAGTCTCCCCACCACAATTCAATCTCAAACCGTGTAAATCTGACAACCGTTTCTTTCTTAAGGATATGACCTGTGCAATATGGTTATTTTCAGGGTTTTTTTGGTTAAGAGTCAAGACACAGGTCATTTGTACTCTTTTCTTGACAAAAGAAACAGACATTTTTGAAAAAAATAAGTTTTCAATTCATGTTTTTCGAAACAAACTTAGCATTTAATATAGCAGCTGTTGGAAAGTTGGCAGTTTAAGACTTCAGAAAATATTGAGCTCAGAAGGAGCAGTACATTTTATCAAATATACTGATTTTAAGATACGAAGGCAAGTGTTCTGATTTTTTGTTGTGTTCTACCATTCACATAATTCAACATAACACTATTGGAAATAGAATTGGTTTTTCTTTAAAAAAAGAACTTTCCATTTGCAAATAAAAGGTCAGAATCATTTAATGTCCCTGTTCTGAAATTTAAGACAATTGATTTTCAAGCTGAGCTGCCTTTGCTTGTCTGACCTTTGAAGATGTCAGACTATACAAAATAGGTAATATACTGAAAAACTTGTTTCCACATAGGAGGAGGGTTTACATTATAGCATTCTTACCTCTTCACCATTATCATCTTTGATGACCTGCTGAGCTATCATTGTCTGGGATTTAGAAACAGCCTGTACTAAGGTCTGAAAAAAGGAAAGAGAGAAAAATATTTCTTTAACAAAAGTGGTACCTCCCCTCAAACACACATGCCTTGCATATTGAAATCCCTGAACCAAAGGAGCCACTTTCCATAAATCATATTTTTTAGCAACAGTGACCTTGACTTTGGAGTATTAACAATATTCTTCACCCATGTTATAGATATGCCAAAGGCAATGATATGATAGAAAATCTATGAAAATCGGTTGATAAAATATAACTGCAAGAGATATTACAGGCCATTTCGTATAAAATTCTATTTTTGATAATAGTGGTCTTGACCTTTGACCTATGACACTCCTCAAGTCAAACATTACTGAAGTGAAGAAACATGGCTGCCGGAGTTATGACAATGACTGTTGATATAAAACATGTTTAGAACAAGAGGCCCAATGGGCCTGCATCGCTCACCTGTTATTAATCTAACACTTGTAATCTTAAGATTTCATAAGAACCTATTAAAAGATTTAAACATATGACGCCTCTGACCTTGATTGTCGAACAAGGACATTAGGTTGAAAGTGGATCAAGGTCATTCATTTGAACTAACATGGTAATCCTTCATCCCAGCATGCTACAGGCCCAATTTCAGTACCCTGGCCCTTTTGCTTATTGAAAAGAAGTCGCTTGAAGATTTTACGACATTTGACCCCTGTGACCTTGAAAGTTGGTCAAGGTCATTCAGTTGAACAAACTTGATAGTCCTTCATCCCAGCATGCTACAGGCCCAATATCAGTACCCTGGGCCTTTTGGTTATTGAGAAGAAGTTGTTTGAAGATTTTAAGACATCTGACCCCAGTGACCTTGAAAGTGGGTCAATGTCATTCATTTAAACAAACTTGGTAGCCCTTCATCCCAGCATGCTACAGGCCCAATATCAGTACCCTGGGCCTTTTGGTTATTGAGAAGAAGTCGTTTGAAGATTTTATGACATTTGACCCCTTTGACCTTTGAAAGTTGGTCAAGGTCATTCATTTGAACTAACTTGGTAATCCTTCATCCCAG